TGGCTGGACTCACCGGACATGTCTCGTGTCGAATTTCTGTAGGCGAAGAGGAAGTGGGAGGAGGCCACAAAGTGCCTGGCCATTGGTGGCCAGGCCACCATGGATGTGGCTCGGCCGGGGCTCGAGCCAAACGGGAAGGGGTCTCCGCCAAACTGCTGTTTGGTGTTTGTATTTTTTTAGTAATACACCTGGGGCGTGAAATAGCTCGCAATGGGTAATCTACTCAAAGGGAAGCCAAAGGGATTGGTACTTGTCATTCTTGTCAAAGACCCCCCGCATGTAGCAGCCGGCTACACAACCTGAATATATGATGTTTGTTGAAAAATGAAACGCCTGGGTTTCTCACTTTCCCAGCGTTTGGACTGTAAACAAGTCTTGGGAAGATGATCTTAGCAGTAAACCACTAGTCTGAACGTTTTCTGACCAATCCACTCAGGAAGCATACCACTCGAGGTCCAATTCGTGTGGTTCGGCCATGGTGGTTGTGGGTGATTATGTAGTGGAAGCGCTCAGCCTAAGGCAAGAAAGGTTTGTAGGCGACCCGTTCCAGCTGCCGATGAAGACTCGGACTTTGTTCGGGCAATCCACTCAGGAAGGCTGCCAGGGTAAGTACTCACTTGTTGTGCATCAGTTTGTTTAGCCAAAGAAACCACGAACGCGAGAACTCGGCACAGGAAGCGTGCTTGCTCGGCTAAGCCATCGGTGTTCGGAGATGTCGCCCATTCACCATCCGCTCACCTTCGTCCGGGGCAGGACTTGCTTCCGGGAAAGTAGCAGGGTGCGTGGAAAGGAGTAGCAAGGAGGGTATTGCCCCAAACAGTACTTGGAGTCTGTGTGGCCAGACATGCCCAACCAACTCGCTCAATCGTGCCTATTGCCAGTTGTGTTTGCGTGTTATGCCTTGTCAAGGATTGTATGTCAAAATTGCAACGATGCAGAAAACATTGGGATTTTTGACCATTTATGCACAACATTCTCCCGTTCACTGCCAAGCATGAGCCAGAGATGACAAATTGCAGAAACGCCACGTGTGACGCAGCCTTCGCCTCCAGTTTGTTTTGCCTGTGACCTTTTTGGATGTGTCGTTTAGAAAGATCCTTAAGACTTGAAATGGACGTTTGCTGTTTTGGTGTGCATTGTTTAAGGCACACCCATATGATATGCATCATAAAGCACGGCCCAGGTGGCAGCCAAAGAAGCTGCCCTTTTGCGCTCGGAAGCAGAGCTTGCGAAAGCGCGGGAGCTCGCAGAAGCAGGCGCGCCGTTTCGGCGGCTGTTGACACTAACTATCCAAACTTCAAGTTGTTTGTAGGTAGATCTCTTCATTTTTCTAGGGTCCAAATAAGTTCAAGCTTATTCTGGCCAGCCTGAACAGATCAGTTCATGGCAAGAACCAAAACTAGATCCAACACTGATTCAGAGCCACAGGGCTGCAGGACCCTTGATAGTCATCATTGGCCCCTAAAAGTCACCGCCAATCAGCATTTGGTTGATACCATGCCTCCCCTTCAGGACTCTGAATCAGTATAGTATGACAAAGGCTTGTGTTGCCCTTCGGTCCGCCCTTCGGTCAGATGAGCAGCGTTTTTTTCTCAGATGATGGATTTTAGCTTCGCGGGGAACTCCCAAAAGCTCCGCGAAGGCACTTGTGCGATACATTGTGTACCGCGAAGCCCCGCGAAGCCACTTCGCGTAGCCCGGTAACATTGACACAGGCGAAGCCACTTCGCGAAGCCACTTCGTGGTTTGAGTGTGTTGCGTGCTTTCATGGCAAGTGCGTTGTGCGCTTTCATGGCAATAGTATTCCAAAGGTTGATGTTTAGAGTCAGCAGGCTACGACAAGATTACAGGAAGACTGCGGGAAGACGACCGGAAGAGCACTGTGCATTTCAGGCCCGGTTTTGCTAGAAACGATGGAACGTTTTCGCGAAGCCTCTGCGAAGCCCCCGCGAAGCCCCCGCGAAGCCTCCGCGAAGCCACCGCGAAGCCACCGCGGTCCAACTTCCATGCTCCGCCCCTTTGAGGCCCAGCCACGTCCCCTAGTCCTGAAGCTCAATGCCTTTCTTGCCGCCTTTCATCCCCCCCTTTCGCACGGACAACTTGATTCCACAACATGGGGCGCAAATGTGAGAGATGTTTGTGGAACAAACATCCGCGAAGCCCGGCGAAGCCACTCCGCGAAGCCACAGTCTTGCCGCGAAGCCTCGCGAAGCCAACCCTTCCACAAACTCTGGCCCCGCGAAGCCCCCCGCGTAGCCTCCCCAGCAGTGTATAAGCCCTGAACCTCTAAAAAAAACAATGCTCAGATGAGGCAATGAGGAGGCAGAGTCCGCCGCTTCAACTGCACGGGCCGTGCAGCAGGCTGAGAGGAAGGCCCGCGGGCCCATTCACTGACGGGGCCCGTTTTGGTGTTGTTTGACAATGCCGAAAGGAAGCCCCCAATTCGGGAAGACTATTTGGAGCAACACCCAAATGGGGGTTGAAGAATGTCGAAAGCATGGACATTAGAGGTTTGGTCTGGGACATGGTCTTCCACGACTCCAGCTCCCCATTCAGGGGGGATTGCCGTAAGTGGTCGGCTTATCGATGATTGTTTGATTTGTGTAGGACTATAGTTGACTCATTGTGTGAAAGCTGAGTCTATGAACACATTCAACCACTGATATGAACACCTAGTTTGGTGATGCTGCCTGGTTCATTCGGCCTGAGTTCTGCCTTGACGTCAGAAAACCAAAGTGGTTCAAAATTGTCAAATGGGCGCCCTGCTACTTCTAATATTGATTTGCATGTGAACCAAATATGCAAGATAGTAACATGCATCGGTTTGCTCAATGCGAACATGTCCTAAAATAGGAAGTGAACCCCTAGCCCCCTGTTGAACGGCCATGGGTTCGGTTTAAACCACGAGGTTCATACCCAAGCATACAGTTTAGAGCAGGTTTATACCGCTTTATTGGGCTCATGGCCATAGGTCGAAACCTTTACGGTTCAGCTCAACGGCGCCAGTGGGCCCAAAGCCGCGCGCCGCGAAGCCGCACATGGCAGGTGCTCCAAGACCGGTGTGCTGCGGACAAGGCCCGCGAGCTGCAGATCCTCGACGCTGGGCGCGAAAGGTCGACAGATTCAACCAGAAAGGCAAAAGGGGCGGGGTGGGCCATCGGGAAGCGACTTAAGGAAGGTTCTGGCCAGGTTGGCTGTGGGGATAGGGGGGTTGGGGGTTGGGACTTGAAGTTGGGTGGGGGTGAGTTTATGGAGTGTTGCTAGGGGGTGGACACGCTCCTAGACGAATCAACCAGGCAGTTGTAAAGCCGGAGTTTGCATTGCACATCACCACTAGCCCTGCATTTGTGGGAGGGTGTCCAGAATCCGGAGCGGATTCCTACGGCTCAACGAATATTGTCTCAGTTTTTAGAATAACCAGCTCACCGAGCGGAAGCGAGCTTACTTGGAGATAATCTATTTTTGCGGTTGTGCATAACAGTGATTTGCCACATCAAATCGAGGGTTGCTTCTCCAAAAGTGCAGGTTGCCTCTTGAAGGGGACACCTCCTTTATCAGCCAGGGGTTTGTTCATCCTCATCCCGCCACTAACACAACACGTTCTGGGCAACACGGTTGTTCGAGTCGCCTGTGCGCGAAATCAGACCTGTGACGAAACTATGTGCTTGCCAGCCAGAGGAGGTGCTTGAGCCACATTTGTTTTGGCTTCCACCCCATGTGGCAGACTCGGGCGAGTGCGTTCAAGAAGGCCTGCGCGTCAACCCACACAACATTGGGAATTGGGAAAGCCTAGCTGCAGGACAGGCAAAGTTGCCTGGGTTTGTTCTGCGCCTCTTTGAGCATGTTGTAAGGTACTCACACGCTCTTTGGAGTCAACTGGTTTAAACAGGCCCGAGAAAAATAGCTTTCAGGCCGTTGGAGGCATATATTCAGTCCATCATTGAAACGGGGTTTAGTCCCAACGCTGCGTCCCTACCCCTGTTCTTTGAACGGAAACCACCCCTACAAGTAACTTGCGTAACCTCGAGATGCAGCCTGGGGCCCAAGCGATGTTTTTCGAGCCCAAGGACAAGCAGCGGAAGGCCATCCAAGAAGACAGGGAGAAGCAGGAGCGCAGGGCGTGGCCGTTGGACTACCGGGGTTGCTTAAGCCGTATCTGTCGGAGCAGCAGGTTTGTTCGCAGGTTCTTTGTAATTTGGTGATGGAGCGAAGAAAGAGTTTGAACTTTGTCGACCAGTCATCCTAACCTCAGCAGGCAAGTTACCCCTAAGCCGGGCTCGGTGGAACGGTTGTTGGCCGTGTGGATGCGGGTTCTGCCAGTTCGGCGTTGTAACTATTGGACTTCACTGTTCTTGGCATGTTTTTTTTTGTTTTTTTTTGTTTTTTTGGTTCTGTTCATTTTTACTGGGGGTCTGCAAAAAACAAAGTTTTTTGCTATCATACCAAGAGTAAAGGGGTGGAACAAGGCATGTATTTTCATGCGCCAACCCGGTGTCGAGCTGATTTTTGTCAATTGGTGTGCTCCAACTTGTAGGGTGGGCTGGAAGCACTGGTCTTCGCTTTGATGGATAATTCACCGAATACAGGGATAGATTACTTCACTGACTAGAAAGCTTCCGAAGAAAAACTGACTTGAAGATCCCACACTTTGAGCGGGTGAATGTTGATTCATTTCCACGATAGGGCACGGCCAAATAAATATAATTTGGAAGCAAGAGCCTGGCTCAATTTGATGGAACCCCAGAATGTGTTTTTTCGTTTATGACCCTTCCCCCACAATTGTTGCGTTCCTTTTCGGTGTCCCTTGAAAACACATCCAAACGTGGATCTCGCATCTCCGGAACCTTTCCCAATACGTTCTACTCTGCGCAGGTGTGAGGAGCCAAATACGCGTTTCTCTTCGCATGTTGTGAATGCACCCCATAATCCTGCCAGGATAAGCCTGCGGCCTACTGAATGCTGTGTGTGGAGACAAGGTCTCAAGAGACGTTAACGGAAAGCACTTCACGGAGACTACTGCAACACAGCAAGACCGTGCGAAGATTGCGGGAGGCGGCAAGACTATGGGAAGATGCTCAAATACTGCAAGAAAGCTGCGAAAATATGGCGGGGAAAGTACGGCAAGAGTAAGGCAAGACGATCAAAGTTAGGTAGACATACAAGGGCTAAAAACTGGAAACAGATGAGGAGCAGAACAGAACACCGAACCCGACGACAAAATAGCAGCACGTTATTTTTTGTTTTTCTCGCCCAGGAGACAAACACGCCTATTTGCAGGGACATGTTGCAAGTCTGCGCACCACTTTGGCACTATATTGAAATGGAAGGTGCCACTCTTGTTAGAAGCGCCAACACTTTGCAAAGTAAGACTGGACTTAGGTGAAGGCGGGTGCTCCACACAGGTGAGAGCACTGTGTCAGTTGCCCAGATTGGCATCAGCGTGGAACCCCCAAGAAGATCCATGTCCAGACACTCCCTTTCCAGTGCACCTGTTCGGAGTTCCAGGTTGGCTTTCCAAAGAGCAAGCACCTGACCCGGGGGTATGAGCGGGTATTCGATGATTTTTCTCGATATGGGTGTGTCCGGTGTGTCCTATTTTGAGGGCAACCGCTTGGAGTAATTGCGGACGGCAGGAGATGATCCAGTTCAATCTTCAAGCGTTGGTTTCCCTTTCGGCCTGAATCGACAAGCTGCCGCAATCTTCAGAGGGATAATCCATGTTCAACACATGGGAGAGCAAACCAGTACCAGCTGAAGTAGGCAACTCTTGTTGGGTTCGTTGACGTTGACCCCGAGGATAATAACATAATGGCAGTTTATTTCGATGACCTGCGCACGCGCAATCCTCAATCAGCAGCCTGGCAGGAGGCTCACTTGAAGGACGCTTTGGCCAAGGTCAAGGCGCGCGGAATTGAAAGGGTTGATGTCATTTTGAACTATTAATCTTTCCAAGAAGCCAATTGTTTCCCTGAAATGGCAGATTTCTCAGAAGGAGAACGGGGAAGTTACTCCTGGAAGAATCTCCCTTCGAACGCCCGTCGCTGTCGCTTTGATAGTTGACAGGAAACCAATCTTCGGGAGAATCGCTGTGCGGCAAGGCCATAGTGGAGTGTTCACCGTGCGGATTATGCCTTTTCGGCTTCGTTATTACAGCAGCTGGCTCTCGCGCAACAGGGGGGCTTAGCAACTTATATATCATTTCTAGACTTGTTTGGTGATACTGCGGATGGACAAAGTCCGGTGTGGATTTTGTCCAGTTTGTTTCTGTTGCCTTCATTTGGTCATGTGTAGAAATTGGGCTCCCGTATCTACAAATTCGACACGTGACCACATGAAGGCAACAGCCAAAAAGCTGAAGTTTGTCTGAGAATAGGAACATTTCGGAACCCCTCCAAGATGGATCTCGGTTTCCCGTTTAAGACAACCCCAAGCCAATTCGCATCGAAGAGGTGCTGAACTCCGCGCACGCGGTGACGGCCTCTGACCTGGGCCCTCCCTTTCTGGCGGTGACCCCGACAACGAGCGGCCTCGAGGTAGACCTGGGCGCCCCTTCGCATCGCGGGTTTTGGGGAAATTCACGGGCCAAGTTGGGGGTCCTTCTGGTTGGATGCTAATTTGGGGACAAAGAAGGAACCCTGTTTTGGCTTTGGCCCGGGGATGGGCCCAAAAACACCTGCGCTTTTCCTGCTTTCACGTTTTAGATTCGAAAACAAGTTCCACAAATTTGGCGCGAGAGGTTCGCCCGAAAAATAGGTTGGTACCCTCAGTTGGAATGTTTCACAAGACGTCATGGATTTGCCTCAAAACAGGAGAGCCTCTAAATGACTCTGGCGGGTGTCACGGTAGTGGGTTATTTGGATCATTATTCGGGAGTTTCTCATCACTCTAAACACCAGCCAAAAGCGAGTTCACCATTTTGGAAACACGACTCAGTTCTTGCAAGCAGTCTCATAATGTTGCAGGTGTGTGTGTGTGTGTATGCTCCACAGCTTGATATGGTTTCAAGCCGCCGGTGTTCCGTTATCCCAATTGGGTATTCAACATTACAATTCAGGTGTCATGACCTGTCCATGAAGAGTCATGTCCATATTTCGGGATTTTGCTTATCACACCACAGAAGTCATTTAGCAAACCTATCAGGCATACCAGACTTACATCTTCGCGTAAACTGATGTTACTGTGTAGAGTTTATTGCTGGAGTTCAGAGTTTAGTCTTTGTTTTCGAGTTAATTGATGTGCATGTCCACGGATATGGAAGATATGACTCAAGATAAAAGGCCAACACGAAGGCCAGGACGTTCATTGCTGCTGCATACATAGCACTTTCATGGGCTGACTTGGGGGTTGATGATGGACCTCCCTTTCACCCCGAGCCCCTTGCTGTTTGGTTCCTTTCTTGGGAAGTGCTTCCGCGTTTTCCAGCTTTCCCCTCCTCGCTTAATGGTCAAGCCCCCAAGACATTTGGCCGTCAGTCGGCGTCTTGTTTCGGCGTCACCATCGACCCTGCCCAGGGTTCGGGGTTGGTTCTTACCAAAGCGTGCATCTGAAAAACACAAGTCAAAAGGTCCATTGTGGCAACTTCTTTTGTGGGTGCCGTCTAATCAGTTTGACCCTTTAAGGAAAACCGCCCCTTGAAGCAGGTCTCTTGGCTTCTCGTTGATTTAAGTACCAACAGCCCTCCAAGGGTGCAAACCGCGCGCTTGAGCGCGCGCACTTGTGCGGCTCGAGGCGCTTTGCAGGAACTCCTCCGGGCGGAATGGTGCGTTAGCGTGGATGAGGCTGGACCGGTCGAGAGCGGCGCTGTTCATATCTTCTAGCGACCTGCTGCCCCTGTGATTTCGCTTGCGCTGAGGGAAATTGGTGATGCTTCCCAAGGGAGTGACTGTTGGAAGCTGAGGGTTGTGTTTAAAGGAGATTCCCTCGTTGGATTCAATCTACAGAACGCTTTTCCATCCTTGGGTTTATTGGCATCTCTACCTTCACATACAACATTTGTGTTGCTTTTTGTTCGCAAAGAGGCACTCCAAATGGAAGATATTTACCCACGTGGGCCTGAGAAGCAGCATTGGGGTTTATGCGCCCGATAATGCCCCGAGAGGCTGCAGTCAAATTATGGTCGTAGATGGATGTATCTCAAAAGCGACATACATTACATCGGACCCACATGTCCGTCAAGCATGGCATACAGTCAGTTCGACAATCATCCCAAATCACGCCAAATCACGCTCAGTCACTGAAATGCGCCATGGTGATGGCTTCCAACAAGTCGGAATCCGACAAACTGAATGTTGCAGTTGCAATATATAATAATATACCTACATTTGAATGTTGAGTTGAGAAGCCTATAAATAGATGTTAGTAAATATGACCAACATGGAGTCGCTGAATAATATTTGCAGTGTTTGTTAACTTTGTAACTCTACATTTGTAAGTTTAGGGGGGTTCATGGTTCATGGCGTGCCTTTCCCCTTGATAAACTTCCAAGCATCCATGACATAATTATTGTTTGTTTGGTACCTCTATCTCCACCTGCACCTCGCGACATACATGGTTTATTGCTCATTGGTTTCAATGCGGTTTCCATTTCAGTCTGAGTACCAGAAGCCATTCCTTGCTCCTTGTAGGGCCCTGGCCAGGTCTGCGTGCCCGTGCGGCTGCTACAGTCGGAGCTGTCGCCTGCAGATTTGTTGCAACTGGAGCTGCCAAAAGGCCACACCGCGCACGCGCGGCTCACCGAGGCACGGGCGGGCGGTTTTCCGAACCTTCGGACAGCCGGGGAGTTGTTTCTTGCTTCTTGGGGGAGTCTTGACTGGAGGCGTCGCAGACCTGAACTCCGAGCCTCCAGTATTGCAGTTGTTCTTCTTTTTTGGGAGGGTGTCCCTCGAAACTCAACGACCAGAGCAGGCACGAAATGCCCCCTTTTTTTCTCAATGGCCACTGGCGGGATGGCAGAAGGTACCGAGCCCCCATGCTAGATCAGGATGGGTGTGCCTTGGGTGACCCCTAAGTACTAAGGTGTCGAGGGAGCACCAATATATCCGAACTTTTAGGTCCAAGTTTGAAAAGCAACAAGCAACACCTAAATAGATGTCAGGATGATGTCAGGGTTTTATGCGTTTATCACATTTCCGAGCTTGCGCATCCGTTCCTCAAGGCATGGCGGGTCTGACTCCAACCGTACGCGTAAAAGGTTCTGATAGAGTGTCGTTGTCGTAGTATTGTGGGAGCCCTAGCGCACAAGCAGCTTCCTTGCAAGCAACTCGACTCATCAAGGTTCTCAGAGTGGCCCGTTTGGAATTCTGCTCCCCTATAGTTAACATGGAGTAAGTTGCCGTGCCTTGCGGTTCAGTAGATCAAGTCTATGCTTGGCCGCCTTGGTTTGGTTCTGATTAGAATTGAAAATTGTATAACCAGCAAACCCCGTTTCGGAGATGGTATCCCCATTTGTTTACAACCAAACATTCTTCAAGCATGGAAAGCGGGATATTGCAATTCTGCTTGTGCATGTGAGATCTCTTGGTTATTGAACATGTTCACAGGGGATTGTTGTTAGTTATGTTGACTGCGGGCGTACGGTTGAACAAAACCAGTGAGATGCTTGTGGCCAGCTTGACTTCTTGGAGTCCTCCATCCTTTAAAGCTGTTGTGCGTTCTGACAGCTCTATGGGCAAGCTCCCGCACCGCAGCATCATGGCACCGTGGTAGGCACTGGTACCTGTGTGGCTGATGTGTAAGCTTCGCATTTGCGTTTCGCCAGGAAGGTAGGTGACTCCCTTTATTGTGTGGCTGGAACTCTCAACCTAGTTTCTATGATTTTGGCGGTTGGGTCTTGTTCATAGACGTGTAACGTATGCTGCCAGCGTCCACCGTATACCGGTGCTAGGGATCTATGATTGGTAGTGTTATCAGCCATAAACCTAAGCCATGTTTACAGAGTTAACTTGTTAAGATGCTATAATATCAGGACAAAGAGTGTAGTCGACTTGACCCGGGAAGTTGTATTCCGTCGAGGGATTTTGAGATCCCCTACTTCAGGCAGCATATGGGTACATGTTTCGCAGATATATCAATACTATATTGTTGCATGATGCTGGGGCAACACTCCTGCTAGTTCACATTGAATCAAAAGAGGAGTCGTCCGTTGAAAGTTGCTTTTTCTGCTTAAATGTGTGTTTTTGTTGGCTTGCTGGCTTCTGTGTTAATTTGCCGAGTAAACCAGACGCCATTTCTTTGGATTTCCCCCCCCCCCCCCGGGCCGCAGGAGTGCATCGCGCAGCTCAAGGCCAGGACCATCTTTGAGACACTGTGGGCGGTAAATAGCCCGCATGGGTCTGCCTTTCTTACGTGATCGCAAACCAACAGGGAACACCACAATTCGTTGGTTTCCCTATCTCAGACACACCCACGTTTGGAATGTTCACTGACCAACTTGTTCTCAACTATATATGACTGTCGGCAATCACTGCCCGGGACCAAAGAGAGGAGACGTCTGGGGATATGGGCATCGAGCATTGCTGAAGGACATAAAATCCGAAGGTCAAAACCACCCCCCCAATCAGCTACTTCCGAAGGGGAGCAAACCTGGAGTCCAAGACCGTCCAACCAAGCAAACAATGAACCTCGGATGATCCAAGAAAGGTCTTGGTCCTTGAGCATCAACGATATGATATTGAATGTGCTGCGCCGGTGAGGAAGACAACTCAAAAAGCAGCTCCAAGTTTGCTCCAGGCTTGATTTGGGTTTTGAAAAACCGCACATCAGCCATTCCCTTTCGCTGACCCTTTGGGAAAGGCAACAATTCTTGGGGCAAACTTTGCCTTCTGCTGGTTAATTATGCAAGTCGGGGAAGCAAGCATAAATGGTATCAACCAGACAGGAAACGGGCTGGTCCTGGGGGGCTGATCTTCAAGGCTGATCTCCGGCTCTGATTTCCCGTTTCGGAGCTGGAATGATTCTCAGGGGACAACAAGGACAACCCTGGCCTGCAGATCTTGGGGGGGTGTGGTGCATGCTGCATGGGCAACCCTGAACAGCCACTGCCAAACCACGAATAGAAGAATTTGGGGCTGGCCCGGTTGGCAATTGAGTGCATGTGACAACTCCGACTGCCAGGTGGAGTGGATATCGTAAGAGCCGCTGGGAAAGCCCCTCCCGATTCTGCTGGGAACTGGTCTGTCTAGCTGTCAAGAGTCAGATTGGGATGACCTATTCGGGGGTCTATCTAGGGGCCCTCAAAAGAGGGCAACTTGGCACCCCTCCCCCTGGTCTTCCAGCAAAATGTGTGTGTTTGTTATGTGTGTTTGTGCTTTTTTGGCGGGCGCCCTTTGTTCAATTGGTTTAAAGGGCAGCCTAGAGGAGCGCCGCATTTTGGAGTCCCCCAATTTTGACACATTCCCAAATGCCACACGTGACACGCGCGTCAACTGTCAACTTGTGTCAGGACCTGCCGAAAGGGAAGTGCCGGGCGCAGGGTGTGTCGCTGCTGAGGGGCTGGCTTGGGCTGGAGCCGATGCGCCTTCACAAAGAGGCCAGGAGGATGACTTACTATACCCAGTTTCCCAGTGAAAGCCGCAATTCCGTCTTTGGAGAGGGTTTTCCCTTTAATAATCAAGCGACAGCATGAATTGTGCCTTTTTTCCCCAGTAGTCACTGGGCTTTTGACTAGTACAGTCTGAGTAATTGGAATGGGGTCGTGGGTTAGTTGAAAACCAAGGCACTATGACGAGCACACTGTACATTAAGAGCTATTTCACTCCTTTTAGATGGTTTGGGACTTAGCTCAGTGGTTCGTAACTGCCAGTCACCTCTGTCCAGTCGGTTTACGAGCCATTTGGCTCACCCGCGGAAGGACTAAGCGGGGGTCATGGCTGGAGGGCCACAAGACTCGCCATGGTTCATCAAACTGAGCCTTTCATGCTGCGAGCTGTTTCGCACGCCCCGACTCTAGAATGTTTTGATGTCAAACCTTGAATTGCTTGACTAGTGGTTAAAGCCTCTTTTTTTTGTGTGTGTGTGTTTGTCATTGTTTGTATCATGCCCCACCTTTGACCTGGAAAGTGTCACGTTTGACTCCTACTTCCAGTTGGTTCATCATGATGAAGCACCATGTCTAGCTGGTCGGATTTGCAAGCAACATGATTTACATTGCTTGAATGGTATCCAGGGTCACCATTTTAGACAAGGTCTCTGTTTTTGTTTTTTGTTTTTCCACTTTCCCTTTTCCTTTGATCTTTTCCAATCACCAAGCCACAAGAAGCAATCCAGGTCACGGCACAACTGGAGCGGCTGCTCTCGCGCCGGGAGCCGGACAAAAACCTCCAGCCGCCGGCAGCGCTGCAGGGCACACTGCGGAGCTACCAAGCCCACGGCGTTCTGGTTGCATCCCTTTGAGTACTCCAAAGTGTGGGCTCGTCTTTTCGGCGATTGGCTCAGGCTGTCACAGGGCGCACTTGTCTCTTCTGTGCGAACCAAGCCATGTCATGTCCTCAAAAGTAGCAAGGTAACTGACTCTCACTGCGTTCGGGTGAAGTTTTGGACGAGTGTCATGGGGAGTGTTTCATGCTGAAGTCAGAGATGGGTCTGCTTTGATGTCCCAATCGAGAGGCTGCCCATCTTCGGGATCAAAGATCTGTGTGCAGATCCCAGGCATGTGGAGGGGTCACGTCACGCAACTCGTACTGGGGTTCGGTGTATGCAGAGGCCGTGGAAGCCGTCTCCTGAAGGTCTAGCAGCCCATGGTCCATGGCAACAGAACGCAACGTCACACGGAGCGTGAACTGTGTTGTGGAGCAGGGGATGCGCCTCTCCATTGTTGCCAGCCCAAAGCTACTGCATTTCCTCCGGGGACGACTGGCGCGTCAACTCCATTTCCTCCGGGGACGACTGGCGCGTCAACTCCATTTCGACTGGCGCGTCAACCGCCTTTGGCGAGGCATGCCAACGTGCTCTAGCCCAACATGTGTCAGCCACGCAATTTGGGTCAGCCACCACGCCGTGTACTCCGTGGAGCCATTGGGCAGGTCGCTGCTCTTGGGGCCACCACTGCCAGCACAGCCATGGCCAGCTCTATCGTCTGCTTTGAGCAGGTCTTGCCTGTCAGTGTCCAAGTGGGTGGCATGTCCTTAACACAGGCTTCTGGTGTGATTCCTTTACCTGGGCATAAAAGCCGGCCATACCTTAGAGGAGATGAACTGCCGCGGACTTGTCCGCAGAAAGCGAAGTAAGCGTGTATGGTGTTTTCCTTTTGTTTCCCTTTAACCTTACGTCACAAAGGGATCCCTTAAAAAGGAGAAACCCATGTAAGGGTTAAACTATTTCCACAGGTTCTAAATGTTTGGGTCTTCAACCATGTTCCCCCTACTTTGACAAGTGCGTTGTTCGTTTGACTATTTGACTCGACGTACAAACCAAACCAGGCACTTGCCAAAAAGGGCCCCTTGGATGACCATTAAATCCAGAGACTGGTTTGACAAGGGCCTTTTTTCTTGCTCGACATGTCATATCACTTGCTATAGCACCCACGCATCCGCACGCAATGGTGCATGCTGCTTCCGCACCTTTGTTCGCCACATTCCTGGAGAAAACGGAACCCAACTACTACTTTAACAAGCGACCTGTTCTTTGTTTAGAATGTCTTGTTGGCGACACAGATGCAGTTGTCAAAATTAGGCCCCCACTTGTGCATTTGTTGGCCGCTTTGGCCACACCCACGGATTCAAGCAAGGGAGAGCAAGTGGTTCAGTGTCTTGTTTAGCAAGTGTCTTTGTCTTTCTTCATCGGCTGGAGTTACACAAAAATCAGTAACGTGCCTTGTTACTGGTTGCATCTTGTTGCAGCATGCTCGTTCCTTACCTTTGTCCGAGCAGTCCTGGAATGGGCGTTTGTTTTGACGCTTGCATACTTTAGTTGGGCCCATTCACGGATTGAAGAAGAGTGGCGAAACAATCCCATGTTCTTGTTGGCGAACACATTACGTGCCCCGCCCGAACTCAAACAGGCAAACGCCTTGTGTTGGGAATAGTACCTACACGCTTGCCACTGCCTAGCAGCGACCCAACAAACGCATGCAATGTTCGTTCAGCAGGCCTGCAGTGAGCCTGGGCGCACGTTTTGTCGCTTGTGGACTTGTGCGCAAAACTGACACAGCGTTCACTTCTGCGTGTAGCTATAGTATGGGCAGATATCTTAGGTAGGTGAGGTTGTTCTTGCTCACACACACACACACAACATATGATTATAGTAGCATACAGAAAACACAGTCATACAGGTCAAACGGCCAGCGTCACATGACTGGGCAATGTACACCTTCGGCATTGTTCAAGCAAAGATGGAGCATATATAGTACGAATTGATTCATGAGTTATAATTCTTAATACAGGTCAGGTGACAGCAAGTGTGACCTCTTAGACTCTTGACCCCAAGGAGTCAAGCCCGAACCGGTTCCCCCCCCAAGTCACAAACTGGGGCCGCTTCTGTCGGGGCAACTGTGTAATCAGATTCCACGGCAAAGGAGTGCTAGTTGGACGGGTTCTGCGACCAGAGACTTCCAATCCCTCAGTTGATCTCTCCTATTTTGACTTATACACGTGAAGTTTAACATCACCTTTTTAACCGCGTCAGGCTTCTCTTGGATGGCCTCGAATGTACGGAATGGCGTTGGGTGCCTGCTGGCAGACGATATGGGCCTGGGCAAGACCTTGCAGACCATCGCTCTTTTGTTGCACCTGAAGGCAGGTTTTAGTTGTGGGGGGTGGGGGGGTTTTTAAAATAGGGACCCCCGCAAGCAGCTGGTGTCCTTTTGGTTTCCCTGGAAAACAAATCAAGAGAGGTGCACAATTTTGAGATCGGCTCGTTCTCAAGGATGGGACATTCCTTTGCAGTTCCCAATCTCTACAGGGTAGATGCAATCCTTTGCTGTGCAGTCCTCTTTGTCCGATCATGCATACGGGGTTCTGAACAGGGTCTAAATGAGACGCAGCAACGCCTTCTTGCAAACGGTGCCTGGAAGGAGTTGTGCTGCCAATGTGTTGCAGACTGCGTGTACAAAGACGTTATATTTGCATTCCATCTTGCGTAGATCCCTGCTTGCACCTTCTGCTTTGGGGATTGCACAGTTGGAAGTCCTGGGTTTCTCCTGAACGATGTGTTAAACCTGTATTGGTCAATTGGCACCGTAGCCAACGTGTCTCAATCTCAAGCTCCAGCAAGGCCAAGCAGACAGACCTTGTGTTACCCAGCTTCGTCACATCAGAATGTACACACGTCCACGATGTCCAGACGTTTGGGTATCATGGGCGAGTGAGCCTGCACTTTGTCAAGGCACATTGTAGCAAACCAAGCACATTCAATGAATATGGTGCTCAAGTTAGATCACAGGAGCATACCTAGACAGAGAAAATACGCCCAAAACAGACATGAAAACTGAACACAGACCGGTAGAAGACAAATTTCCCTTTTGCGGGACCATCCCTTCAGAATTGCTTTCGAGAGAGCAATACCCTAGATCTCAAGATCTAGGAGCCCAAAGAGTTGTTGATTCCTCGCGTTTTAGTTTTAGAGAAGTTGGCCATTGTGGAGCACTTTGTGATGGCGTGTTTCCCTGTTCAACTGCCCGGCAGTGTGACGTGTGTCGCATTACTCGGAGGCGGCGCGCTCTCAGCCCTTTCCAGCCTTGGTGGTGATGCCTTTGATTCTTGGCATGCGTCAAAGTATGATTTAGCCTCCAAATAGTTTCCTTTTTGGTCCCCTTTGAATCTACCCCACGAGCACCTGCAAAACAACATACCTTGATGCATGTTAAAAAGCTGACATGGTTCAGTGCGGGTTTCTCCCAGTGTGTTTTTTTGTTACTAAGGGCAGGGAGCCAATATTGTTTGTTCCCCAAGGTTTCCAGGATGATTGGAACAGTGACCAGCGGTTGTTTGACGGAGCAACAAAAATAGTGATGGTTTGTTCGGGGAAAACAGACAGTTTTCACAGGGTTGCCCCGGACCAGCTCAAATTCCGGTCCTTCTTGGTCCTCTCCGGTCCTCTCCGTGTCTTCGGGAATAGGACTGCAATAAGAAAGTAAAAGGAATGTATACATGCTTTTGCTGTTCCGGTGCTGGAGAGGGCCATGACAAATTCTGGCGGGGTTGTTGTGTCAAGGGGGGGACTGGCTCCTTTGTGAGCTTGTCAAACCTGTAATTCTAATATGCTCCCCCATGAATCCCCTCACCAAGACTAGTTGTCCATTTCCTTTCCCCGCCCCCAGAAATGAAAAATGAACCATGCAATCCAAAATTACAACTTGTGAATGCCTCTTCCAATACTACTCTTGTGTCAAAGTTCCCCGGATTGCACATCGAATCTCCAAATCATCCTCCAGATCAGGGCAACTGTATGAACTACTGTTTACTAGCCAGGTTCCAACGTTGCCCGCACAAATTTGTGTGTATGCAAACAGACCTATTGTTTGTAATACGGCTATATACGTACACATATAAATATATGTATGGCTTCATAGATGCATGTAGCAGGTATTATGAGCATCCCGTTCGAGCTACCGTTTCGCCAGTTCTAGTCCCAACTGCGAATGATTGGGGCTTTTTTACCCAGAGCCCTTCGATCAGAACCCCTAAGAAGGTTCCTTCCGAACTTTCCTTGGGAAACTGGGTGCCAAGTAGCCCATACTTTTCAATTAAGAAAAAAGCAACAACAGGGAAGGGTCATGTTTTAAAGTTTTTCAGACCCCCTATTTAGCTCCCGGGTGAGGAGGTCCCGGGTGGGCTCCTCCCGAGGAGCATCCTGGGGAACTGGTCCTCTGAGTTGGCCACCTGGGCGCCGAGCCTGCGATGCGTCACCTATCACGGCGGGGAGCACGGGGTAAACCACCTGCGTCCGTGGCAGCTGACCATTGGAAGCCGTCAAGGACAATATTAGGGGCCATGACCTGGGGTTGTGTCAAGATAGAACGACCCTCAAGCCAACTTAAGAAGGGTTCCCTCGAAACAACACATGCCCATATGTGTTTATTTGGGCGCCTAAATGTTGTGTGTCCCACTGAATTGGGGGGGGGCAACACTCTCCTTGTGCTTGCCGTCCTTTTGGTCGGCCTTTTAAATTTACGAGACTTAAATTGAACATCGCCTTTTGGACCAATGCTGATTGTCTTGTGAGCTTGATAGCTTTCGAGAGTTTCCAGCAATGTTGGCAACAATGAAGATCAATAACAATGTAGATCAATCAAAGGGTAGAAAGTGCGTAAGTTGAAACCATGTGTATACATATATATATATTATACGGACCCGTACTGGGATCCAATGTGTGTACACTAAGGTTTGCTGTCTTTTGGCACCTGTTGCCATCAAATGGCGATAGCCGCCCGCTTCCATCATGGCTCTCCCAACTTGTATGGACAGACTCGACCCGAAGGGACTGGGCAGTCAGGGCCAAGCGGAAACGGGCCAGTTTGCACCAGGCACACGTTACTGTAAGTCTCACCAGTGAGCAGCCAGCACGTCGCATCGTCGCCAGCGACAAGTAATTAGCACAAGGGCTGATGAAATGACATTGCCAGACTTACCTTAGCTTCCTACCTTTCATCTTTTCATGTTCCTTCATGTCCCCTTTTCAATCAGCCTGGAAGGCGGGCTTGGTTTGACCCAGCTGACCCCCTTTTGCATAGGTATGTGCCTGACCAAACGACAGAAGGGCCTCGGAAGGCTGATCCTTGCAATGATCTCATGTTGATTGCTTCTGCAAATCAACATGGAGTCCAAAGCAGAAGGGCCACCAAAGGAGATTCCAATAGAAATACTGCTTTGTGGGTTCCATGCTATTCTACAGCAGAGTAGCTTCAATGTGGGAGCCAGCCACACCATCGCGCTGTGGATAGCTAACAAGGGAGGCCATAAACGCCAGTCTTCATGTTGTATTGGGGAGCCATTTTTTGCCCATGTATATACTTGGGGATGCGGCTTTCAATTCGCATGTGGCTTTCATGGACTTTGGTCCGTTCCCGGAGAGGTGGCCCAAAGACTCCCCCAACTGCTGAAAACGCTTCACAGGGTCGCAACAAGCAAGACACATGACAGGGGTTTCTTCAAGAGGAAGTTTAAGTTCCAGGTCCCTTCCAACAGGTGCTATGTTTGTGGGAGGAAGGCTGTTGCTCCTCCCTTTGTGCTTTGCCTTGCCCTCCCATCAAATAGCATGAGCGATCCAAGGGATACATGGGGTTGTGGACATTGCCTTCTGCAAGGCCAAGGGAAGGCCCGCGATCTATCTCAGACCCTCCCCACCAATATTTTGCTGAATTCCATCAAATAGCTCAGGCCAGCCGCATTCAGCGGCATTCAACCACAATGCGACTGGTTGGTTCGACCTTTTGGCAGGTTCCAACCGCGCCCTGCCGAAGAACTGCCTCCGCGAGGGCCCCGCCAAAGGCGCGGCGACAGCTGAGGCGGATGTGGTGCTCACAACGTACCATCTGCTAAGGGACGAGCCTCGGATCTGTGGTCACCTCCAAAGAAGAAGGGTGTCCTCGTTTTTTTTCTTTTTCCACGCGCACTGGGAAGGACTAAGGATGACACGCCCCTTTTGTCGAATGCGGGGAGCAGAGAGGTTCGGGAACCCGTTGAACCATCGGTTACATTTTTCCAAGGCGACTTGCTTGTGGCGGGTCCCCCAAATAGCAGCGGGTCTTGCCACTCCACCAGTGTCACTTGATTTCCAATGTTGGTGATATGGATGAGGGTCTAGCAAAGAACCAGGGGCGCACAAGACGTTGAACCAACTGTTTGGCTGAGGGTCAACATCAGATTGTACCGTTACTCCTTGAGGTGATGATATTTGCAACACTCGGCTTCAGCCATACTGTGTGTGTGAACGCATTGCCTTTCAAACGGTGTTCCATGCTTGTTTATGGCATGCATGGGTGGCACGTTAAATTTCTGTATGGTCTTGAGCCAGAACGGGATGGGGCCCAAATGCCAAAACACCTACCGATTTGCTTTGCTTTTGATGCCATGCTCGGCTCCTAGATCCGCCTAGAGCCAGATATGCATCAATATGCATTTCTGTTTGTGAGGTGCTACCAACACATCACATTGACGTAGTGGCGTGGGCAAGATAACGTCGAATCCCTCTGCAAAAGCCATGTCCTTTCACTGGTTTCATGTTTCCACTGAACCTAAGACAGTCAGAAACCGTGATTTGGCCTTCATTGTGGGAAACCTGGAGTTGTTGTGAGGGTACCAAAAGAGGTGCAAATGGTAGACACACGGACACACGGACCCACACACACACACAGGCACACACGCAACCACACACACACACACCCACACTCACACCCACGTGCACGTGTGCGTGCGCATTTGAGCTCGAGGATTTGCAGCTACTCTTGGAGCGATGTCAGTTCAGCGCTATGGTGCTGGATGAGAGCCAGGCCGAAAGGGTGTTGTGTGTGACTTCCGGGGCCAGGGGTTCAGGGCTGGGGGTTGAAGGGTGGAGCTGGGGTTTGGGGGGGTGGGGTTTGGGGTCGGAATGAGCTTTCTGGGGTGTCCTCGTGTTTTAGGGTAGACTAAATACGGAACAGAGTCAGAGCATTGTAGTTGTTTTTTTGTGCACCTCAGATGCGGGCCAAGGTTTGTTTTGGTTGCATGTGGGCTTCAGCACCCCAACTTCAGGTAAATATACAGAGAAGCTTGACAACTAAGATCCACGAAGCCCGTTTATAAGGGCCACAATCAGTTTTAACAAACCCACTGACTTGTGGTTCGTCCACGATGATAAAGGCACACTATCCCCATGCCCAGGAGTAGACCCCGTCGCGAAAGTGGCCAAGCGTTTGATGGCCATCCAACCTGCAAGCTGGAAGTCAAATGAAGCCACATCACAGATTACCATCGAGACATGTGTGACTTTGACTCCGTGGTAGGCGGTAGCGCTCTAATGGCCTGTAAAACGCGCAACAAAAAGGTGGACTCAAAGATGCACTGGGCACTTGCTTATAGACAATGGCCGACTGGATCCTATCCCGTGCCCTGGGAATTCGGAAGGGTTTTTCAGCCCGAGCGATTGAGTCCTGAATGCCCCTATGCACGAATTAGTCATGAACACGTATTATTTTGAGGGCACCCTATTTGTGGGTGTGTTTTAAAGAGAAAACCAACGGGACTCCAGCAGTTTGGGGGTTCCCCCATTGTAAAAGGAAAGAAAGAGAAAGACCCATATGGGTGAGTCTTTTAGCGTTTGTCAGCACCTCCCCCCGGCCCCCGAAATGGATTTCGTTTTTTTTTTTGGGTTTCCCTTTGAACCGCAAAACAAACGAAGATGCCTTCAAAAGACATGACTTCAGAGTCCGGTGTCGGTGCAGGCGATCAAGAACCGGTCCAGTCAGATCACCCGTGCCGCTATTGAGCTGGCGGAACAGACCGTGGGCTCTACCCGCATCGCGCTCACCGGAACGCCAGTGGAAGCCCAGTTGCCAGTGGATTTCACAAGTTCGTTTATTTTGGGTTTTGGGAAACTAGTAAAATAACCAACGACAAAGCGGGTTTTTTGTTGTTGTTTTTTTCCCAAACCCCATTAACAAAAAGGGTTGGCCGCATGGTTTTCCTTTTTGGGAGGGAGGGGATTTCCGGGGTTTTCCCTGAAAATCTCCCATGACCCGTTTGAGGAAAACACCTTGGCTGAGCTGCACTCCATTTTCAGCGCCTTGGCTCGGGCGCCGTTAGAGCAGCCAGACGAGCCGTGATGTAGCTATCCCATTCTGGTTTCTGTACTAGGGTTGTTGCCTAAGGGTTCCTGCAAGCTTGATGAGCCGATGGGGGGCTGAAATTTAACCTAGGTTGCTTTGTTTTAGCCGCCAACGTTGGTTCATGCCAACCCCCTTTGGGAACGGCCGCCTTCTTCTGGGCCATGTGAGGAGCAAGGTCGATGGCCAAACAGAGGGCTATATTAACAAGCAACAAGCAAATGCTTATGTGCCTGAGCGCAACCTGCCCGATGTTTTGAGAATGTGAAGTTTGCGGTTCGCCCCTTCCTGTGATTTGGGATATCCTGACACACAGATGGAGAAGCGGATTCTTGATGCGCCGATCCGGAAACACAAAGAAACGCAATCTTGGGCCGTGTCTTTGGTGTCAGGCATCCCTAGATTTGAACTGCTCAAACTCACGCGAGCAGCTTTTTTTCTCCTTTTTTCAGATGATGGATTTTAGCTTCGTGGGGAACTCCCAAAAAGTCCGCGAAGCCACTTGTGTGATACATTGTGTGCCGCGAAGCCCCGCGAAGCCAATTCGCATAGCCCGGTAACATTGACACTTTGCGAAGCCACTTCGTGGTTGGAAGACGACAGGAAGACATTCGGAAGCGCACTGTGCGTTTCAGGCCCGGTTTTGCTAGAAACGATGGAACGTTTTCGAAAAGCCTCTGCGAAGCCCCCGCGAAGCCTCCGCGAAGCCACCGCGGTCCAACTTCCATGCTCCGCCCCTTTGAGGCCCAGCCATGTCCCCTAGTCCTGAAGCTCAATGTCTCTCTTACCGCCTTTCATCGCCCCCTTTGACATGGATCTTGATTCAACTACATGAGGGCAAACGTCAGAGATGTTTGTGGAACAAGCATCCGCGAAGCCCGGCGAAGCCACTCCGCGAAGCCACATTCTTGCCGCGAAGCCTCGCGAAGCCAACTTCCACGAACTCTGGCCCCGCGAAGCTTTTTGCGTAGCCTCCTCAGCAGCGCATAAGCCTGAACCTCTAAAACACAATGCCCTCATAGTGTTCGAGATTTTTTGTGCTTTTGCCAGCTCTTTTGCCGATGTCCTGCCCGTGGAGTCAAATAGTCTTTGTTACTGACATTAGCATGACCAAACCGTGTCGGATCAGGCAGGGGAGGTAGGGGCGTTGCAGCTTGCGAACCCATTTGATGATTGTCCTTATGCATCGCATTACAGCCCGCTCAGCGGGCGAATCGCCTGATCTTTTAGGAGTGGTTTTCTCTTGTTCCCACGAAGCATCACACAAATGCAGACAGAGACACCGACCCACCAACCCACTGACACATGCAATAAGCAACGCAAACGAAAGGCGGAAGTGATGGTGAGTTTGGCCGTTCACTCTTAGAAGATATGTTAGACCCTCGCGGTCCGGCCGATCCGGGAGTTGGGACGTGAGGCTTCATCCTCCCAGGGTACCTGGGCTCGGCCCGAGACTTCGAGAAGGCGAGGATTGTGGGAATGAATATGAATGAATAAAGGCTGCCCAGATTGTCATGCACCCCCAGAAACTCATTTTGCAGTCATTGTTGGGGGAGGGTCCCCTTTTCTGATTCCATGTTAACTTGCGGAGTAGGTTGTCATTTGGAGGCCTCTACTGACATCAGTGTGGAATTCCCATAGGGTATGGGGAACGTTTGGCAAATGTTACAGATTCTTCGAGCGGGCCCTCATCTTAGACTGGCGAATAGTCGCATTTCCCTATCATGGAGCGCGCCCATGTACGCACGAATTAAGACAGTATACCACGCAGGAAATGTGAAACGAAGGCAAAGTAAGCGCCCATGGGTGCAGGGTAGTTATTGCATTGCAAGTCTAGCCTGCGGAGTAGCTTTGTGAGGGCACGGCCGAGTGCGGGGGGGTTGGGCGCAGGTCTTCCAAGAGCTCCCAGGGTTGTCCTTGGGCACTGTGCTTATAGATAGTGGTATCTACTCAGCGCAGATTTCCTTTTGAATAACCAGACAGGCCTCTTGGAAATGCACAAGTGGCCAGCTGATTTGGATCCACTTTGGGATTGCAGGCCACAGACAGAACTTGGACAAGCTGGCCTTCAGGGTGTGGGAAGCCCTGACTGCTTTGATTCTGAAGAGAGGGTTCCTGCTGTTCAGCGCACTCCAACAAAAGGGGCAGGGCCAATCTCAAGGCTTTAAGTGCGCTCACTTCACTTGATACCAACCAAAGAGACACCCTGTAGTTAAAAGATATCCCTTTTGGGACCGCTTTGTCCGCACAGGAGTTCACCCGGCCGCTGGAAAAGGTTACAGCGGATGGGCCCGGAACTCGGACGGGGAGTCTCCATGACCCTTAGAAATTGGCGTCACCCAAAATAAGGGGTCATGACATTTGTTTTCAAGGGTGAGTCTCCAGGTCAAATGATTTTGCATTCTGACTCACTCCGCGAGTTTCCGTGCTTGATAATTGCTCGGAAGACCATTTTACACGAGTTTGGACTGTTCGGCAATCCACCCAGGAAGTGACTTTATTACAACACCTTTGCCGTTTGTTTTGCTCCTTATTTGTGAAAGGAATACCGTGCTGAGACAAACAAATTCAAGCCCGCCATGTTGTGGGTTGCTCCATTAGAGGCACACGAATTTGTTGCCTCTCGATTTCTCCCTTCACTTGGCCGGCTTAGCGAGGCACTGCACGCTGCGTGCCCGGCTGCTGCACGCCATCCGCCCCTTCGTGCTGCGGCGCTGCAAAAGCGACGAGGCGGTGGCACCAGACCTGCCGCCCAAGATCGAGCTGGCCGCTCGGAAAGAGCGCCTTGCGCACCCGGACCGGATCCAAACCCGAAAGAACATTGAAACCATAGGGGGTCTGATTTTAGAGATTCCTTTTGAACTGATGGCGTTGGATTACATGTTTATGTTTATTTGCAGCAATGTAAGCCAGTCGCGCGGGGAACCAACACGCAGTCAATAATTTGGAACGCCGCCAAAAAGCACATCCGCCCACATCATTCCGGATGCAGAGGGAGAGAGAGAGAGAGAGAGAGAGCAAGAGCGAGAGTGCATAAAGTTGCATTGCTCTTCTGAGACCCATGCGGTCATGCTGACGAGCGCTCAGCGCACCCTCTATGAGGCACGAAAGTGCATCGGAGAGAGATAGAGAGAGAGAGAGAGAAAGAAAACAAAAGAAAGAGAGAGAGAGAGAGAGAGAGAGAGAGAGTGTTAGTATGTGTTATGTGTTTGTATAGAGAAACGCCAATTCAGAGACGTAGCGAGGGTGTCATTGGAAACTGGTGACTCAAATGGTCCCTAGAAGTCGCAATGGGCCAGTATTCGGTTTGGCTTCCTTGGCCTGGTACAAAGCGTTGATAGATAGTTATGAATTTGACCATTTGAAAGTGCTTGTTTCTTGCATTGGGACAGTGGTCTCCCTGGGACTCCAGAAAACGGGCAACCCAATTGGGGAACCATGCGAGTTGGGCGGCAGGCCTGGCTCCATGGCTGATTGTGGTTGTGTGGCATGACTTTGTTTGGTGACCCTCCAGTGATGCCTGTTCCTTAGGCTTTAGCAAAGCCGGGCTTGCGCTGCTGAGCTGCTACGACAAACTTGGTCAGATTCTTGCTTGTGCGGAAGCGTGCGAGAGGGTGTCGTGCAATTGTGGTTGTTGCAAGGTGGTTGAGTCATTCCAAAGCGTGTGTTTCCGTGCGTGTGGGTGCGTCAGGCCGTGAAGAAGCATGAGCTGGAGAAGGTCCTGGAAGCAAAGGTTGCTGAGGGGCAGGAGCATCGGCGCGCACCACGTACCCGCTGAGACGCTACAGATGACTGTCATATGTCATGTATATATATATATATATATTATAATATATACACATACATATATATATATATGACGTAGTATAATTGCCATACATGTATATGCCCACGCACTGATCATACTGTACATAAGTTGGGGGGCGATTGAGTTGCATGACGTTGAATGTCATTGAGTTTCCGCAGCCACACGCTCAGAGCTGTCCAAGCAACTCGATTCACTACTTTGTTTGTCATGCGTAACATGGTAGCAGGTGGACAAAGTGGAGGTGTGAATGAGATCGGGGCTGTTTAGCCGGTGCCCTGGACATCGGCATGCAGGCATGTGTGTTGCGTTGGATTCTTGGGGGCATCGATGGGCGTATGACACTATCCATTGGGTCGTATTTGCTCTTGCTGACGCGTTTCAAGCCTGCCATAGGTACGCCCATAGATTTTGTTTGTGCATGGCCGCTACAGTCATTAAGTTCGGGTGTGAGTCGGATGACCATTTGGTTTTGTTCATGCTGCAGTCGTATCAAGGGAGCCTATGTATGACGTTGCTGTGTGACACTTCTCACTGGCAACAAGTCTCTTTTGGTTATGTGTTTGCAACATCTGAAGAGGGAAGGGTTGTGCTTTGGCACGAAGGGAGCACTATGCCATGTTGCCTTCGGAAATTCCAAGTTGCTGCGTTGCACAGAGTGTTACTCCTAATCGATGCACTCGAGGAACTGTAGCAGGTAGCCTAGCAACGGCAGGTAGCCTCACAACGGCAAGCGGGGCCGCTGGTCAACTTGCAAACGGGGTCGTGGTTGCACGGAGGCGTTGTGACCCTTCACATTGGAGTTAATTCCCATAAGTCTCATTTGGGTCACTGTGAGTTTTCGGTGTTGGGCGTGAGATGGATTCTGTCCAAGCAGAAGGTGTTTCTTGGCAAAGACACTCGTACAAACAAGTCAATGAGACTTGAGCTGGAACACTTGGTTCTCGAGTTGACCAATCGTTCTGTTTTTCCCCCACCCCCCAACGCCTATCACATGTTTGGTGAAGTGGAATTCTTTGGGCCATGTTGGTTGCCATTTGACATGGCGGTCGTTTCGTGGCTTGCTCCAAAGGTGTCGCTGCAAACGCCGCACGGATAGGAGGAGCGGCTGGAGCTTGGCCTCGAGGAGTCCAAGGAGCGTGGAATGTCTATGACCCCCCCCCCCCGCTGCACGTCAAGGCATGTTGTTTTTGTTTGCATCCGTGTCACGGCGCAAGACTAAGCAAATTCTGGCGCTGAGGTGTTAGTTTGGAGGGGGCACCGGGGGCACCTGTGGCACCCTGCCAAGTATACTTGGCAGATGTGTGCTCCCGTTGCAGGAGGTAGTGGGGCCTGCAGCTTATGAGTTTGCCTGGAACAATTGCCAAGAGCCCTCCAGGTAATGAGCACGTGTCCATGAACTGCCAAGATCATTGTTGAAACGCGTCAGATGAGGTCCTAGGTTGGGGTAGAACAATGACCAAGTGCAAGGTCACTTCAATGGCGGCAGACTAAGATCCCAAAAGTTGATATCAAGCACTTCACCACCTTGCAGGCATAGGAACCTTGGGTAAGTGGGGTCGGAGACCAATTCGTCTTGAGAAGGTCGTTGGGCGGGGTTCCTCATTTCAATGAAAAGGCAGGCAAAAATGGGAACATAATCTAGAACCATTGCAACAGCTACAACATCTACAACATATTATTTGGCGGTTGACAGGAGATGAGCGAGAATTGTTCATCATCGAAGGATGAGCTCGATACAAAACGTTCCGCATGCTGGGGCCTTGCAATTTGACCTTATTTTCCCGAGCCATGGGATTTGTTTGCCTTGTTCAGGAAAAGACTGCCCAACCTAGGATCCGATCGTAATACACAGACAAACGTGATACGCGGACAAACACGAGCCCCTTTTGGAATTGGAATCGCATCAGCCGACGCTGCGTTGCCTGTTGAACATTTCCTTCCACGATTTTTGTTTGTGGAGTTTTTTTTGTATGGTAAGTATGTACAGGACATATGACTGGAGACATCTTGAATTCGAAAGCCAGGCACAAATCTGATTTGTTCTAATCTGACCCGCTGTCGGCTGATATCAATTTGAGCTTACTGACTCAGAGCGTGAGGTGCTCGCACCCCAACAGAACTGCGCATCGTCAGGAGGCAGCACCCATCACTGTGCGGGCGCGCGAGGCGCAAGGGTTTGTCCTGATGGCAATTTTGTCAGCTGGTTTGTCCCCTTTGAAAGGCAGCACAAGGCGGCGCCGGGGTCCAAAAGGGGCCAATTTGTTTGACACCTCCCGCCCCATTTGTTGGAGCATGTTTTTGTTTGCACTGGCATATTGCCAGCCACTGATCTCATTCCGAAAACCTCGCTCCCAGCGACTTTGCTAATGGCTCCCCTTCGTCCCCTGCCGATGATGAAATCTGGTGTCAGATTTAGGTTTATGCATGTGGCTTAGCAAGGATTGCAGCACGTCAAAACACATTTTGGCCAGCGACTCAGAGCTGCGCATGAGGTAGCTGGTCCCTTTCGGTTTGGCCGCTTGAGCATTTCTCCGGACAAACAATATCACGGGAAAGTCACAAAGCTCACTTCCCGGTTTCTGAAATCACAGGGTGTACAATGATGGCTTGGTTGAGACATTGATTAGTTCTTCGTTTACCGCATGCATCCTGCCACCCTTGTCATCATGTTGTTTTAGCCTTAGCCGTTCCAGTCGTGCAGTGTCAGACTGTGCACAAGGCAACCACACACACATACACATGCACACGCAGACATAGCAGACAAAAATCAAATGCCGACTTGATCGAAGAATTGGTAGGAGTTGACAAGAGGTGGAAACAAAATTTGCATAGCAGGAGCTTCAACCAATGTCGGATGCAAGCATTGTATGATCCGTTCTGATGGGCTGCTGACTCTGGTGTTTTTAGGGAGAGCCACCAAGCCGAGTTCAACACCTGGTTTCCTTCAACTAAAGCCTTGAAGCCCTATTTCGGGCAAATAGGGAAAGGCCAGTGCGCCTGCGAGTCAGGTACTGAGTGTCCTGCATGCCCTGCAGCAGATTTGCAACCATCCACGAGCGCTCGGGGGCAAGCACTGGCTGCTTTGGCTGCAAGTTGCTGGTGGGACAATTGGGGGGCCTGCATATTCATAGTTGTGGATACTTGGGTTTAACGGCCACTTCCTGTGGTACCAAAAGAACCTCAGTTAAAGTGACAAAGTAGCAATGGGGATGGGAATACCACTTTGGTATCACAGAACGGGTTGTGTTCCACTACCATACGCATGTAAGTGAACAGGCGGTCTGTAGCCAGAAGTTGCTGCAAACGGTGGGACCCCTTTGGTGGGCGGGGCACTTTATTTGACATGCCTCCGAATGTTGTCAAGCTTAGTTTGGTTGAACCCATTTGTGCGGCCTACCGCTACGTAGTCCAGGATCAATGGCGCAGAATCAGCTTGTGATATAATCATAACTGGTAGAACCAACCGCTGGATTGGCATTGACTTGGCCGTGAAACACAAGACGCAAAGGGGGGAACATGGTGCCAACTTAAATTTAATGGTGATTCAGATGTGCATCACGCGATGCTGGCCGGTATGGGAGTGTGACTCGCACGCGCCTTGCAAGGCCTCCCGGAGTGGTGCAGGACGAGCGCTTCACGGACGCAGCGGAGCGTGGAACCTCAGCTCTCGGGGACTTGGGGCCCACCACGTGGAAGACTCCCTGAGTTGGACTTGGAACTTGTTGAGATGTAACCCTACCCGAAAGCGGGTAGCCCCAAAGGGTACCCTCAAAGAAGACACCCCCACACCACAGCCGGATGTGTGTTTGTACATATTAAGTAATTGTACTTACCAGCGGGATATCAGGTACCAATCCCTGGGTACGTAGCTTTGGTAAGTGGACAAATCCTGTCTTTGGGATGCCACGCAGGGTGGTGGAGTGGAGTCAGATGAGTAATTGTTCCACGTAACCAACCTCAATAAGGTTTGAACACCCCCTTGGTTTTTTGGAGCGCCCCCGCCGGCTTCTAATCCAAACCTTGCCAGCCCTTTGCGCTCTCTTTTTTTTTGGCCTGTCAAGGGGCCGAAAGCAATAGACAAGTAAAGGGACGATACTGTATGCTTTTATTTGTGCAGAGCTGAAAAATGGCAGGACATTCAGGGGCTTTGATATCATATTGGTGAGGAATTGGTCTTGGGTGGGGGGACTTTGTTTTCCGCTTGCCAAGCCTTGTTTCAACAAGCTGCAGTCATACATTTGCAGTTGTTTGTCATAGCAACACCACAGACCATGACAGGAGTGAGTACGAGCAGCCATATGGTATGGAGGGTGCCACTACGGTGTTTCTGTGTCCATCTTAGTTGTTTTTCAAATAGCATTGGCTGGCAGCTGGTTGGGAACAATGGAAGTCTGTACTTGGGTGCCGCCAAAGGGCAACAGGAGAAGAGGGCAGAGACAGGTGAGGGGGTGGAAGGGGAATGTGGGAAAGGGTGGGAGGGGGCGGATGGAGGATGATGGAGAGGGTCGAGAAAGCTGTCCTTTTGCTCATTGCCCGTTAATTTTGCATGGAACCCCAACAGGGGACAGGGGGTTTTCTTAAATGGCGATTCTTCCGATTGCACCATGTTTGTGGGGGTCCATGTTCATGTGAGCAAGTGGATTTTACATCATTCCAAGTCTCGCCTGCACTCTCTGTGTTACTCGCGAGTCGCGAGTGGTTTGTGAGGACCAGCGGCAAGATGTCTCGGCTCATGGCGCTGCTCGAGGAGGCATGTGGCGTCGAAGAATCGTCGCGGTTTGAGCCGGTAGATCACCCAAAAACGACGTCTTGGTCATGGCTGCGGAAAAAGAAATTACACCAGCCTCGACCCCAAACAGCAAAAAAGCATGACCGGTCTGTATAGCCAAAAACAAGGCTTGTCTCCTTCATGTAAGGTGCGAACTTGTGTAGCTTATGTGAGCAACACATAGTTACAATCAGTCCATGTATGTCCCTGCAGGAAGTCCCCTTTTTTGGGAAGAGGACACATCGGGTCCATCCATCTCCTTGACGCCGGGTAAAAGCATCTATGTTGTTCATCGACTTCGAGGAGAAAATGCCATGTCAATGCCATGTTCGAGAATGAAGGCCCCGGGGATTCGGGGTGAATCAACCTAACACCTGGCATTAGCCAAAGGAAGTTTCGAAGGAACTTTCGTAGTACGGACACTCAATGCACTTTTCCATCACCGCAGCATTTGGTGGCCGTCTCGCTACTCTGCTGAAACTTGCGCACCAGTCTCAGCAGCCTGCGGCCGAGACTGGACACATGTCACTTCTGGTTGCTATCTTCTTCTCGAGCTCGGCTAAAGGTCTTGCCACAAGCAAAGCAAGAGAGCACTTGCATAAACTTGCAGACTGCGCCTTGTAGCGTTACGGCCGGGACATCCTCGCCTAGCAACGCAGACACACGCCGCGCCAAATAGGCAAGCGTCAGCAAAGGTGCCCGTTTGGCGCGCACCTCTGTCACCCGGCGCAGCTCCAGAAAATCCTCAGGGTTTGAGCCGGCAGTAGCTTGGTCATCCAGGGTCTTCATCTCTGTGGTGTCCAGCGCGCCGCATGCTCCCAAGATGGCCAACGCATGGCTTTGCTCCACACGCCAAACGCCGCTCCATTCCGGAACAAGCTTGGCTTTGAATGTCAGCTCCAGCCCTGCTCCATCGCGGAAACGTGTGAGCACTTTGCCCCAACTTACGAATGCTGGCTGCACAGTGGACACCACCAGCTTGGCCGGGTTCATCTTGGAGTTGGCGCTTATGGTTTGCAGATTGGTGTTCACATGTGTGGTGAACGACCGGCGGCCGTCATTCCAGTGCACGCCGCTGGCAACAACTTCTGGGCCTTGCGTTCACTCAGCCCCAGCAGCACAGTAACCAACTGGCCGGGTTCATGAACTCATTCCAAGTTGTCAAGGTCAGCGAAGTAGGTTGCCAGGAAAAGGCTCCTACGCATCAACCAATTTTTCGAGGAGAACTTGACAAGTGCAGGGACGATGCGAACAAGTCTTACAAGCTAATGGTTTGGTTGGGGGCCCGACTCACCCAGGCTTTACTTCCAGGACCATTCTTTCTGGAAACCCCCCTTACGATGCAACAAGATGATAAGCACGCCTGCTTGACTGTGTGTTCGCTCGTCCCTCTCTGTGATAGCACCAGATCTCCAAGAGCAAGTAACCAGGAAACCACCAAGCCACTCTGCGATTGGCGAAACGGCTCTTGTTGATGGCCCCACAAAGAAACCATCAAACACGGCGGCGGCCTTTGCAACTCTTATTAGATTTTACAGCCACCGAACATGTGTCGAAACATGGCCATGACCGTGTGTCCTTGTTGCAATCACCACATTGAGCACCAGAGCCGCCATTCCGTAATGTTGCTGGGGAGTTTGCCACGCACGCAGAGTGTCCAGCAGCTTTTGCTTGAATGGGTCGGTATCGACGTAGTGGAGGCGAAGCTGTGTCGTCAAAGAAGAAATGGATGGACCACCCCCCCCTGCCTTAGTGCAAGGGACGTAGGGGGGTCATTTTATTTTTCAAGGCCCTGTGACCTGCAACGGAGACAATCGAGTCACCCGGCACACTGCCTCCTTCGCCGGGCCTTGCACGCTCAAGTGTTGGTCCACCATGTCTGTAGCATGTGCCTAGCGAGTTCTCTGCGCAAGTTCCTCTGAGCAAGTTGTTGGCGCGAGTTCCTTTGAGCAAGTTCTCCAAGCAAGTTCTTGGTACAAATTATTTGAGCAAGTTCTCTCAGCAAGTTTCTCTGAACAAGTTTCAACGAGCAAGTTGTCTGAGCAAGCTCTCTGCGCGCAGCGCTTGTCGCTGCAACTTGCTAGCGCCACTTGCTGGTGCTACTTGCTAGTGCCACTGGCTAGCGCTACTGGCTCGTGCATCTCGCTAGCGTTATCTTGCTCGTGCTAAGCACTGGCTTGCGCCATTTTGCTAGTGGCATTTTGCTAGTGCAACTCGCTAGGTCTATCGCTAGTGCTACTTTCTAACGCAACTTGCTTGGCAACTTGCTGGTGTCATCCGCTGGAGGTCTTTCCTGCAGCACAAGGGCTCTGCTGATGCGCCACAAGGATGCAAACCAGTCAGTTAAGGCCACTTGGCTGGGCTCTGCTGATGCGCCAGAAGGATGCAAACCTGCACTTGGCCAAGAAGCGCGGCACTGGCTTCCAAAAAGCAGCTCAGTGTCCTGAGCAAAGCAATCAGCCGGATGTCCCAGAATATTTGTTTGTCGAGAATACAGACACTTTTAAGGCTCGACAGGGCCCTGCTGATGCGCCACAAGGATGCAAACCTGCGCTTGACCAAGAAGTGCGGCGCTGGCTTCCACAAAGCAATCAGCCGGATGTTACTTTTTTTAATCGAGAGAAACATAGGCTCGACAGGATCCTGCTGGTGCGCCACAAGGATGCAAACCTGCACTTGACCAAGAAGTGCGGCGCTGGCTTCTAAAAAGCAGCTCAGTTTCCTGAGCAAAGCAATCAGCCAGATGTCACGATTTGTTTGTTTAACGACAACAAATCAAGGCGCGGCATTGCTTGTTCCTAGCTCCAACGATGCTCCACAAGGATGCAAACCTGCGCTTGGCCAAGAGAATCCTTTGCAAATCTGCGACATGCCCTTTCCCCGTTGCGAAACATTGTTGCAAGTGGTTCCTGCTGACTTGTCGAATCTAATTTTCTAGCTTGATGCTTCTCAATTGCGCTTGCGAGCTGCTGCCACGTGAGCCGAAGGGAGCCGAAGGGAGCCGAACGCCGGTTACTGGAGGCCAAGCAAGAAACAGGTTCAGCTGGTTTTGCCCGCGAACTTCATTTTTCCTGTTGAGATGTAAGCAGGAAAACAGCCGGCTGGCAGCAACGAGCGCAGAGACTGGGAGACGCAGGGAGACAACTCACAGCGTCTGGCATCTGACCGCAGAGACTGGGGGACAAGCGGGAGACACAGAAAGACAACTACAAGACACGACCCCGGAGCCAGCGTCACAGCATCTGGCATTTGACCGCAGAGACTGGGAGACACAGGGAGACCAGCGGGAAACACGTCCCGGGAGACACGCAGCTGGCGTCACCGCAGAGCCAGCGTCACAGCAACTGGCATCCAGATACAGGGAGACAAGCAGGAGACACGACCCCGGAGCCAGCGTCACAGCATCTGGCACCCGACCGCAGAGACTGGCACCCGACCGCAGAGACTGGGAGACAAGCGGGAGACACACGACCCCGGAGCCCGCGTCACAAAAAACAGGAGATGGGGCACGCAGGGAGACAAGCGGGAGAAACAACCCCGGAGCCAGACAAGCGGGAGACAGGACCCCGGAGCCCGCGTCACAGCGTCTGGCATCTGACCGCAGAGACTGGGAGACACAGGGAGACAAGAGACACGACCCTGGAGCCAGCATCTGGCATCTGACCGGAGAGACTGGGAGACAGGAAGACAAGCGGAAAACAGGACCCCGGAATCGGCGTCACACTTTCCTATTCTCTATACCTCAAGTTAGAACCCCAATGCTTCGCTGTTTGGGGAAGAAAGCAGATTTGCATGCGGGGGGCTTGCTTTTTTTTAAGTGCCAATTGTTTGGGCCCATTGGAAATGTCCCTTGTGACTTCTCGCGAACGGAAACCTGAGGCCCGCCCTACTTACCAGCAGTGGTCAGCTTCAAAACACTTTTGCCACTCGACAGTTTCTATTTTATGGCGGCCCGAGCAACCAACTACTACTGAATGCCGCAACCATTCCGAAGCAGACTGCACCCTTCTGCGAACTTCTTGTTTTGAAGACTCACTATTTAGGCTGTTTCGAGCTTCAAGGTTACCCTACACGTTTGACCCCAGAAATGCGAGCCATTGGACATTCGACTTCCCAAGTGCTCGTTTAACCCCGCAGCTTCCCCTGCGATTCGCGAGGTGCTCGCTCCCAGCGATGGCCAAGGCTCGGAAGGAGGTGGATGCGATCGATGGATTCCGACTTCATTTAACTGATATAGGTGCATCTTAGCAAGGTTTGCCGTTTGCCTTCCCCTTAGAGAGGATTTGGAGGGAGGCAAAGGGACCCGCTGGAACAGTTATTCTACAAGTCTAGGTCCACTTCTAGGGACTCCCTGGATTTCCCCGAGAGGGGGCCCAAAGCCTCTCCCGCGTCTTAGAGCTCCTTTGGTTTGGGAGTGCTCCAAGCCAGACTCTCACCAAAGTAGTTTGCATTCAAGCTTAGCATCAAGAAAACCCCCCCCAACTCCTGCTGACACGTGTCCCATTGATCTACGGGTCGAGCCATGTGATTTGATCAGTGTTGGCAGCTGGTCCTGCTAAGATCAGCTACCATGCTGCAAGGCCTGTCTCTGAGAAGGAAACGCTCAAAGCATGGGCAGCAAAGGAGAATGTGTTTATTTTGCCAACAGACGACCAAAAGGGGCTGTTTTGTCCATAACTTCTTAGTTGACAACCAGCAAAGTTGCAATTGCTTTGTTTGATAGGCCTTGCAAATAGCTGTTGTTCTTCTGGTTTCATTTGAATCCCTCCCCAACTGGCCTGATATTTTGGGCATGTCCTTCAAAGTGGGCATTGGCACACATGTGTTTATCATGTGTTTGCTATTATAAATGCGGTTTGTTTTGGGGTTGGTATGCTTATACTACCACACAACTTAAGGCTGTGATATTGGGAATACCGTCTCACCGTTGTGATTTGCTTCAGGATGCAAGCACTCTTGCTGGGTCCTTGTATCCAGTTTGCTTGTTTTCCTTTTTGAGTGGAAGTACCTGGAGTCTTCACGAAAACAACCAGCACATGAACTGGGCTGAGCAGGCGAGAAGGTGCTGATCTTCACCCAATATGCCGCATCCTTAGATGGGCAAATGGGACCACAGAGCAGAAGGCGGGGGAAAACAGCTTGGATGTCCATGAACGATGAATGAACGAAGGCTTTCTTTGAAAGCCCTTTCTCAAATTGGCGTTTTGACAAGGGGAACATATTGGCTTGTTTCTTGACAGCCGCTATTCACTCCGTTCCTAATTTCGCATTGGTATGTGGAGCGTGTCAAGAGTTGACACCCCTCCAAAAGGGCAGCGGTCTTCTTTGGGAGCTCCTTGGAGAAAACGGTTCGACTATTGACACATCCCGCATGGAAGCAAGCGGTGACCGACACATGGACAGCTGCAGGTCCAAGCACCCCCCCACGTGGGAGGCTGTCTCAGCACCTTGCTGTGCTTTGTTTCGCAGCACGTGTCTTTGAGTGTAGCATTTGTTGTAGACGCTGCGCGTAATGACTTACAGCAGTGCCTTCTTTGGCATGGACAGGGCGATAGGGATTTTATATTTTAAGATGATGCTGCCGAAACAGTTATTTCAAGAGCAGAGTTTTGCGACAAGAGCGCTATGCATAATTCGCTTTAACATACTCCGTGCTCGCTTTTGAGGAAAGCGATGCTGATATCCGCTTAAGCGCTTGGATTCAGGAGAATCTAGGCTGGAGAAAGCTGGCTTTTTGACCAGAGACGAACCATGCAACACCTAGTTCTCCTCCCAAATATTTGTTTTGGGCCCAATTTATTGACGATTGGGGAACAATGGATCATTGCTTGCTTGGTTTTGAATGCGGGGCATGAGCACACAGCCAAATTTGCGTCCAAGTCGAAGGATGCCCCAGGTGGGGATTGAACTTGTTCAAGGTGCTTGAAGGTTTGGGGCTTACAGTATGACGCAGATGGTCAATCATTCAGTAGTTGATTCCGACAACCAGTCCTTCTTGGTGCCTTCGTGACTTGATAGACCTGCTTTTCATGTTTGATCAACTAAATAGTTGGAAATTGCTCATCCCGTGATGTTTCACGGGTGTTTGAGCAGCTTGAAGATTGGCAAACGACCAGCGTGTCATCTTATCATATGACCAAGGATGTCATGAGCCCTCTCATTGTTTCTGTGAAAGGGTGCAAACACTGCAAGACTTTGCGGCTAGTTATGTGCATATTCACAATTTCCAATACTTGCCTTGACATGGAACATCTTTGATGTTAAAGGGTAGAGGAGCAATGCCACAATGTCGCAGATGAACTGGCTTGTTCAGTATGAGTACTTCCTTGCAGATTCACAAGTTTCATGCAACATACCATCATTTGTAGAGGAGTATCCTTTGGGGGGTGCCTTTCTATTCTTGGTTCCAAGTAAGGTGAACACGGCGCTTCTGCTGCAGTCCACCATTGAAGCCAACTACCCCCAGATCAAGGCTCGCGTGCGGCCGGCCAAGTTGTTTGGTCACTGGCCCCTGTCCATGGTTGTGGACAATTGTGTTCAAGGACCACTTTGTGCTGTTGACGTCAGCCTCTTGAACAGCCTTGTCCAGACTCCCAAGCACTGGGGTGGCCAGAGAGTCCATCGAACCAGCGGAATTCTTGGCCTGGTGTCCTGCGTGGGTAACTTACACGACCGCAAACAGTCATGGCAGCAACGGGTCGAAGCCATTCAACCATCAAGACAGTTCTGTCAGGCATCAGCTAGACCCCTTTTTCCAACGACCTTCCCCGTTCCACCCTTTGTTTTTGTGTCGCGGCTCTTTGGCCGAACCAAGCATTAGCTAAATAGTGCCCGCCAGCGATCCGTGGCTCTGGTAAAGAAGTTGGCCAAGGCCAAGTGATTGCTTCTGCACGAGTTGTCACGAGCTCATGTGGGTGTAAAACCGAGCTCACCCATGATGAAGGTTCCTTGCGTGAGCGACTGCCTGTATTTACAGAAGTACAGCAAAGGGCTGAATTTGGTGCAACACGTAAACGGATGCAGGGTTGGAGAACCAGGTGAAAACACACGACCATTCACCCATGTACTATAGGGTTGGAGTTAAGTCGCATTGGCTTGTCTAAAGTCGCATCGCTCGCACGTGGCCGGTAGGGAAAGCATCCCCGCATGCAACCGGCCCAACTGTATGCGTTGGAGTGGAGTCCCGTCGAAGCATGCTTTATGCTTGCTGCGCGGCGCAAACTGCTGAGGCGCGTGGCCAATGTGATTGCACTTCCGCAGCTGGCGATCGAACTCAAAACTTGATGACCAGAAGGAAGAGCTCGGCGCACTGTGACTTCACGCGCGCTGATGTGACTTCGCGCGTGCGCGGAGGGTTCCACAGCGCTTGAGGTCCTTGCTCAGGAGACCTTGGTCAAGGTGGTGGCGCATGCCCGGGCGCGAGGAGAACAAGGTTTGTCACTTGCTGCTTGAGTGGGGCTGTTTGTGCTTGGTAGGGTTGCTCAATCCATACGCGGCGGTGATTTTGGTGTTGGAGCGCAGCGCAGCCCCGTGCATGACATAACTGTTTAACTGTGGCACCAGGCTGACCACAGGGTCCAGCAAGCGAGAGCAAACGAGACTGATTTTGCAGACGCTGATCTGGCCTTTGCACATCTGTGCTTGTCGGGACTGGGAGGTCTGGTCCTGGTCTCGGTCAGGCGTGCAGCGCAGGTCGCCGTGCCTGGCACATGGAGGGGATAGTGTTTTTGTTGCGCTTGGCTTGCTGTCCGCTAATTCGAGCCAAATGTCTATTTTGCTGGTATCCCTTCACAGCAGGCTTGGTAGCAGTACGGGGAGGTTTTGATCTCTCCTGGGGATTTCACACACGTCTGACCATGTGGTCGCATAAGTCTGGATTGCCGCGCACCTCAGCGCGAAAGAATTCGGGAGGGGCGGGTTGACGTTCCACCCTTCTTAGGCGCACGGATATGTGGTAGGATGCGCAGACGCGTTTCTGTAGCAAGAAGTCGCGTCCTTTCAGAAGGACACCACCTGTAGAGTGCATTGGCACAGTTGCTCGTCCATGGACAAGTTCTATGTGTGGCCATCAAGGCCGATTGGTGAAGTCTCACTGGTTGACGCACGTGCCCGCCGCGCATACGGATCGCAAGTTTTGTGAGTCATAGTATGTTATAGGCATTTCCCCAGAAATTCCTGTTGTGAATTCCTGTGGTTGCGCAGGCTTAGGGGTTCAGCGTGGACGTCAACTAATGAGCGAGTTCCCCGACAATCCACCTAGAGATCCGCAATGAAATCGGGAGTCCCAGGATTAAACTTGCATGACTAATTGATTTTGGCCCCACTTGTTTTGGTCTATATTTGCTTTGCTCACGTCCAATGCTTTCCTCACGCTACTGCCTCTCAGCCAAGACCAGACAACTGGCCCATGTTGCCTGTGAAGCACGCTGCGAGTATTTCATTTTTTTGTCCAAACTATTTTTGCACCGGAGTGTATCTCAAAAGGATGAAACCCCTTTTGATTGGCCATGTAAAGCAAGCGAAAATGAAACCATCCGTTTTAACGGACGACTATTTTGAGAAGCCCTGCCTTTTTTGTGGCATTACATGAACACCAAGAATAATGCCCTTTTCCATTTTGGGTGCCCCGGCCCCAGAGAAAAGAGCAATGGTTCGCAGGCCTTGGCGATCTTCGGGTCCGTAGGGCTGCCAGAGCGGGAGGAGTTGCTGCGGCGCTTCAAGACGGAGCCCAGGTGGGTAGCAACCCTTTTGGTAGAGAGAAAAACCCAAAGCAAAGGTTTTAAAGCCAGGTGAGGGCCTAGATGCGGCAGGGTTTGGAAGTGATTGCCCTTTTGAGACAGTGCAAAGCCCCAGACCTCCAGTGGGGCCTTTTGTATTTTTTCCCTTTGCGAGGCTTAACAACAGCTTTCACAAGGGTTGTCCGTTTTGCCATGGAAAATCGGAAACAGTCCGGCATAGGTGCGCTGTCATGATCATGACCCTCGGCACTGGTGGAGTTGGCTTGAACCTTGTGGAGGCGTCTCATGCCGGACACCCGAGAGAATCATGCCATGGGGGGTGGGGTGGGGGGCGGGGGCTGCAAAGCACAAACGAAGATTCTAATATAGCGCAGGTTGGAAAGGGGTGAAACTCTCCGCCCCAGGAAGCGCAGTTGGTTGGTAAAATTCTGGTTGATTACCCTCCTGCAGATGAACAATGATTAACATGAACCCCCATATCCAGCGTTAAAACCCTTATCCATTCGGCGCGCTACCACTGTGTTTTGAAATACAGACTTCGTGGCACAAACTTGTATTTTGGGTGTTTTCGGATCCGTGAGCCTTGAGGTTGTTCACTATGACCGGTGCTGGAATCCTGCCAGAGAGGCTCAGGCGCGGGACTCGCCCGCTTTCGAGATCCCCAATAAACTGGCTCTGAGATGCTTACCAGAATCTCTTACATCCAGGGTTTTTGAAGACTGTACAGCAGACAGAGCCCTGCGGCAGTCCATGTCCCTTTGGAGGGGTTTTACTTCCATGTTTGGAAGCATGCCTTGGATTGGGTAGTAGACAACAATGATAGATCACCTCAAAGCCGCCCAGGCCCCGAAAAAGGAGGGGGGGGTCCAAGTTGCATCCACAGTTCTATTGGCGAATTCTAACCACCATGTCTCTCGGATCAGAACTTTCACTCAATGCCCTGTTGGCTGCAGGATGTACTCCGGCGATATCAGAGCCCCAAAACAAGGGTCCAAAAGACAATTCCAATATGAATGCAGAGTATTTGGGGTCTATGTGAATCGGAGCATTGAAGCAACGTTCCTTGCCTTTCGAGAAGTCGCGACAGCAGGTCAAACAGACGATCAAATCCACCAGCAATGCTAGGTCAGAGGCCGTATTTGCTGCTAAGATTGAACCAATTTGAGCAACCTCACCTTTGAATGATTCATCCTTCGGGCCCTTTTTTTGCAGGTGAGGTGCAGAGACTCTACCAGATGTCGTGATTAGTGTGTGCGAACAGGAAGCTGGGAAGTGTCACTCTTCATGTTGTTTTGCAGCACATATATAAGTTGTTGGCCTGTTGATGAGAAGCGAGTGACGTGTCCGTCCAGGCCAGTCATGATTGACCCACGTGCCTTGTTACCTATGGTACAATATTGAGCCGCCTGCCTTGATACCTTTTGACTCATGACCCAGGTAGCATGTTCAGCCTGTTCAACGCAGATTAAGAGGGCCCGAGATATGGCCCTTCTAGAAACCAAGTTGTGACTGGGCGATTCCCTTCTTCTTGGTTGACCTCCCATGCCTGTGGAAAGGTCTCCGTGTATTGCCATTTTCCCAATGAAGGATTCTTGCAAATCTGGGGGAGTTACCCAAATAGTTTCAACCTCAGTAAACAATTCTGTGTTTCCACCCTGGAGGCCCTGCATCACAGGGAAACCTTTGTTTGGCTTACCAAATATGGAGAGTTGTATCCAGTGCTGGCTAGCTCCCTGCCTTGCCCAGTCCTCTTGGCAAAGGAAATTGTCAGCTAGTACTTCGACATTAAGTGTGTCAGATTTCAGGTCGTAGGCATCACACAGTTGGACCCGTCCAAACCCGCAGTTTACGAGGACTACTTTCCGACATGTGCTGCGTGGCCTGAAGGCGTCTTTTTTCTTTTTTCTTTTTTTTTTCCGAATTCTCAACTACTGGGTGCTAATAACCCGCGTTTATTGTTTTGTCCAAAGGGAAACCAGAATAAGGGAGCGATATTTGTTTCAAAGGGACCCCAACAGGGGGAAGTGGTTTTTCCCCGAGGTTCAAGGCGTCTGGCTGTGAATCAGCTCAGAAGCGGGCGGCAAAGAGGCCGTGTTGAGAGCTGGTAACGTAGCTCATTTTTGCGAAAAGTAGGGTTGGAGGCCACGTGTGTGATACGAGGAAGAATGTCTTGTAAAGTGATAAAGTAATCAAGGGAATGATCCATGTTGGTATCACAGAAAAGGATGATTTTCCAAAACCATGAGATGGCTTCTACCTTGTGAACACATTGTACCCGAGGGAAACATGCAAAATCAGAACAGTCTGGTGGGGAACCACTTCTTTCCCTTGTTGGAATATTGGAAGCTGGCTGGGGCTTCAGCATCTCTTATCAGAGCAGTTGGACGGATCCTGGAATGTTTCACCGGGCACCCTGTTTGATAATCTCCCACCTATTTTTGGCCCAAAAAATCAAAAGACCAAACGGAGGTCAAACAGTGTGGCTTGGAAAAACATGGTTTTCATGTTTCACTCGCGCAGGCCACCGACCGAGCCCACCGTCCGGATCTAAGATGCCTTCAAGCCGTGTTGCCACAGATGAATCGCTAGGTCCAAGGTTGTCTTGCGTTGGTGAGTTCCAAGCGCACTTCTTGGGCCACTGTTGAGAAAGCTTCAGTGAGTGCAGCGCGATGCGACGAGGGGGGAATGCACTGTGAGAAACCCAGTCGTTGCACTGCTCATGATGGCATGCTGTTTTGGAGCTTGTAGCAAGTCAGGTTGATGTGGTACAAGGATTGATGCTTGTTAACACGCCCACGTGTAGAGGTGATCGCATGTGAAGGGGCGCCGGTTTGCTTGCATTTCACGGTAGTGTATGTTAAGTCGAGCCTGAACAAAACGATCACCTCATCAAGATGGCAGCGCGCGGGCATTCCATGTGGTAATTACCCTGGAATAGGGGCGCTGAGTACTGCGTCACGATTGACGAGCTGAAGTTATCACAAGCCAACAAAGAGGTTCAAATGATTGCAGGCAATTTCCTTGTTTGACATGCAATGACTAGGCAATTCGTCCCGCGCGCAGTCTGATCGGCTTGTTGGACTCGCACAACTTGGTGCTGCAAAACTAGTGTTGATGAGAACATGCCAAAGGATTTGCTCCATGGGGTGTTTTCTTGAGTGATGGCGCATGTATTACTTGATTTCATTCAGACCACTGAGGTTCACAGCTTCAGACAATGTCCATTTTTAGATGACAAAGAGATCAGATTCTTTTGCCCCACGAAGTTAGGGATCTCCCACTGATTGACAGGAGGCCCCCTTTCGACCTGTCAGATGCCGAGTTGAGCTAGCAACGGAGGGCGAGACTCGCACGCAAGGCATCGGCCAATGTCGAACCGTGATGGTGCATCGACTGGTTACCAGCGACACCGTTGAGGAGCCCTGAGAGGGGGAAGCTGTGGTTGGCCTTCCGTCTGCAAACTGGAAGAACTAACCTTCAGTGGGTGGCTTCCTTTTTGTCCTCTTTGGTTTTGAGGGGCTCGCTTCAGACTCAAGTGGCATCAAAGGTGCCTTTTTTGTCTATGGCAGAAACGGTTTTCCCGAGACCGCACACCTCACCAACATGAACAACAGCAAAGTGCATAATGTCTCCCCTATTGCCACTGGGCAACAATGTACATTGTGTGGGAAGTGGCATAGCGGTTGTGTGCCATACTTTCAAGATCTCACTGTTGATTGGGAGACAATTAGTCCGCATTTAGCAAGTTTGCAGCCGACCTAAGGCATTCAGGAACTGGAGGTTCGTCATTTTGCAGGACATCAAACAACTGTAACTGTAAGCCTCTTTGAACAAAGCATGTCGGAATCGGGACAAGACTTCACCTGAGTCGCGGGCTTCCTCAGCGATTGTTCTGGGAGTTGGTTTTAGCTTATCACTAGGCCACAAGTTCAGCAACGACGGAGTGTGAACAGAAATGCAGCCCGTCCATACATGATAACAATTTCCGGCGCAGCATGTGTCATCATGACCACGCGGGGTATCTGTCGAAACATTAGCCTTTCGCCATCAAGGATAGACATGTCTTCTTTCCAGAACAGAAGCATTGCACCACTGTCCAATCAAAAAATCAGGTCAAACACTTTGGGTAGCGAAGACTGGTGGCCCAATGGTCGAATTGCCCGAGACCTCCAATAGTGTTTTTTGTTTCCGCGGATTTGCGTTCCAACTCAAGGAGCAAACATGGTGACCTTTCTTTCCGATGGCTACTGGAGGTTTGGGCCAGTGCACTAAGTGAGGTTTATTGAAGGCCTCTGCCTGCCAACGCGGTCACTAGCTGACCTCTTGCCTCATTCCTTGAAAGGGTGCCTGCAAACGAGTTGCGGAAATGCGCTAAAACTAGAGGCCTTTCAACTGGTTGAGTAATTCGCAGTTTTCCCATAAAGGACCCCGTGTTTTCGCGACATCATGTGGCCCAGTTGACATCTACACTCTTTTCTGGGTTTTCAAAGTAGCGACGGGTGAACCAGACCTTCTCCTACTCGCTGGAAGTGTCGAATGAGTTTGCTGGGTCAACCGCTTAGTATCCAACTCAGCATGTGCAGTTTATGTGAGCAATAGTCAATAGGAGATGAAATTGGCGACATTCAGTACACTGGCAACGATACCATCAGAAATATGGGGCAATCCCCAGATTCCCATGCCATGGGACACAATGAACATTGACCGCTCACGTTCTTAACGACTGGACCACCCATCGAATAGGAGCGCCTAGCCGCGGAGCTCACGCGGAAGAGCCGCCTTGCCGGGGAGGCACGGGACGGGGTCGGGGGCGGCAAAGTTCCAGGATGTCACTGGGCCCTGCTTTTTGCTTGGTGGGCTCAAACAGAGTCGGCACTTTCTCAAGGATTTAGGTTGACCCGTGCAGCTGCTCTTCTTTGTGCATCCCTATGGCGGCTTGGCGAGTTATGATGATTTGTGTTTCGTTTCAAGTTCACCCAACTGGGCAGGAATCCTTGTATATACTTGTCCTTTTGCTGATTTTAGGCACAATCTCGTGGGCCCCTTTAAAGTGAGCTTTCTTGGGTGGGGTGATGTTTTAAGAGGGAATGCACCCTGCTGGGTCTGCTCCACTTGGCTCAGCTGGTTTGCAAGGAGAGGTACAGCTGAACCGTGGGTTCCGGTGTTTGGTTTTTTGGTACTCTGAGGTGTTGAACAGGTTGCAATGACCGGTTGGTGGTTTCCCAACCAGTTTTCATAGGGCCTGACAAATTCATCCATCCCAACCTTTGCAAGGCTGATTTTGCCATTCACAGTAGCCTGTCTTTGCCCGCAATCCATCAATGGTCACCAGCAGTCTCTGTGTTCCGCTGCAAGTAGCTTGCTTCCTCCACATCGTGGCAGCGCTTCGGGATTCATGAGAAAAGATCTCCGGAGAAGGAGAATCGAGGGAGTCTTATCCGAGGGATCGACATTGGGCTCGGGGTCCAAAGAGGGTGCGTCTCATTGGTTTGCAAGCCCCGCCATTGCAAGTGTGCGCTGACCTAGGAGCTTGTGCCATGCCTTCTCCTATGGCTCCATCTCAAACATAGAGGGCCCCCCAGCACAGCAAACACCATTTTTGTTGCTGCCATGAGCTGCGTATTTGACACGAGCTGCATGACCTTCAAGCCACTTTGACCCGTGACGGCGCATCCTCCAGAAATGCTCAGGCGGCGATGGAGTAGCCCTAAGGGACGGGCTGGATCCCCTCAAATCCCAAGCGGCCGCGTAGCGGGCCTGGCATCCATATCTTGTTTTAGGTTGTACCCTTGTGACGGCCCCGACGTGCCACCAAGAACCAGAAGTTTTCAGCAAGGCACCGGGTATTCCAATTCCTTCCGATTTCTTCCAGCGAGTCTTTGACTTTCAGGTGGTTCCCACAAGTGCCACAGACATCAGCTCCTTTTCCGTCCAGGCGGGGCACATTCGGCTTGGGCGAGTCATAGTCAGATCACCTGACTTGTTGAGCTGTTGTGTGTGTGTGTGTGTGTGTCTTTTTCGCGTGATCATGTAGGATCACTGGCCCGGCGCTCGCAAAGAGCTTGGGACGATGTTTACCGATAGTTGTGTCCAATACCAAGTGACTAAACTTGGTTTCAAAGTACCGTATCCACAACCCCACTATAACTATCTAGGCCTTTGTACTACCCTTTGCATGATTGATAGCCTCAATCTACTAGTGCCTTCTGCGTGATGGATTCCCATTATATAGTAGAAACACATGACCATCCCGTCTCTTTAAGTAAGGTTTCAGGACACGTTGTATTCTTGGACGGTGAACATTTGCAGCTTGCTACTCAATTCCTTGGAACGTACTATGCAGGATATGGCCGCAAAGCAAGGTGGTCACCATACCGCTGTTTCTGGAAAACACTCTCTAGAATGGTGTTGGCTTATTTGCTGCCGCAATAAGTTCCACGTTGGGTCCTTGCTACTTGGTACTTGGACTCGACGATATTTGATTCGTCCATCTTGATGAAGCAGAAGTGTTGGCACCATGGATGACGGGTTTTCCCCCCAGAGGTGCCACCTCTTGCGTGCGGCCTTAACATTATTGGGGGTTGATCAAAAGGTCCTTGCAAGGAGTTATGTATTCGGTGACCATTCGTCTTGGCTTAGTTAAATCCCTCCGCGAAAGATCGGCGATGGAGTTCGCGAAAGCAAATTATTTTTCGCGAAAGATTCCGCGTTGGATTCTTGGAGGCATGCCTGTGCACTTACATATTTGCAGACCCCGCTCCCTTGTAGATAGGGAGATACGCAGCACCTAGGCTTGCGTTATTGATTCCCTGCCTGTGTTGGGAATGGTGCAAATCAATACCGTTGGCTGAGCTATTTTGGTGCAAGTTTCGCGAAAGATCCGCGAAAGACCGGCGAAAGGCCAGGGAGGTTGTTGCATGGTTCCGCACATCGCCGGCAAGCGCAAGTGGCAAGGGCGAATGACGGTGACTGCTTGCACTTGACACTACGTACTGCACGCAAGTGAACTGCGACTACCGTGCTTGCAAGCACAACTGCGGCAGCCACAATGGCTCCAGAGCGCACGCTGCAAACAAAAGGGCATGGCGATGGAGTCGCGAAAGATTCGCGAAAGAAACTTTTTTCTCGCGAAGATGGCGTTTTCCGGAAACAGGAATATTGATCAACTGCCAATATTGAATATCACCGCCCACATTGCTACTTGCTCCTGGAGAGTATGTGACATCTCCCCCTTGCGCTTGGACGCCTGGCTTGGTTTAGATTTAAGTAGGGCAATATGTCAGCAGGTTTGGAACCTCCCTGTCCTGGACTCTTGCATATGTCATATGGGCACCAAGTGAAACCGTCCATTTCGAAGTGCCACGTTTTAGCCCAGTTGGACGTCTTGAGAGGAAGCCAGCGTCATCCACCTTTTTTTTGCTGATTGCCCAGCGTCTATTCAGGGAAAATGTTATGTTATATGCCTTGCTTATCCAACGACTGCATTTGTTTTTGTACACTGGTGTACTTTGGCAATGGAATAGCAACGGGGTGGGATTTCATAGAGAGAATGCCCAGCCATCGAATAAGAGAGGCTTGGAGGCAATATTGAGTCTGTCTTGGCGCTTGCCGTTCCAGGAGCTGGTGGAACTTCTCTCGGGCCAGGCAGGGGCACGTAGAGATCACGGATCTTTGGGAAGCGTTAGATTCGAGAAGGGTGAGCCTTTTCTTGGGCTTACAGGGAAACAAAAAAGAAGCTACCCATTTGGGAGGTTCCAAAATGTTGAGAAAAACACCCGGACCTCCTTTGAGGCCATTTCCCTTGTTCACCTTTTTTTTGACGGGTGTCCCTTTAATTCAGCTGCCCTTTTCTCCCCGTGGCTACTGGGGGGGGGGGGCTGGCGGGGTATGGGGCTATGGCTTGCATGTGCAGTTTCCGTTCCAAGTCTGACATTATCATTTTGGGTTATTTGCGGTTTGAGGGCGCTCGCACCGCATTTGGGAGCTGTTCACGCTACTCAGGTAGTTAATTCTCCAACATGCAACATGGAAGTAAACTTTGCAGGCCTGTGTTTTGGGTCTTGCTTGTTGATACGGAGTGAGTCATTGTCGTTGAATGCAGATGGTGTTTGCGCCTTGCGCTGACCATATTATGTGCTTTAGCTATGAATTTGCTAAGTAGCTTTGCTGGAGGCAGTGAATTTGTGCTCTCCAGAGTTGTGTTTGTTTGTTTTTGCGTTTGGTAGCTGGTGTCTTCGCGCGTAGTCACTTAGTGGTGTGTGTGTGTGTGGGTGTGGTCGTTTGCGTGTGTGTGTGTGTGGACGTGTATGTGTGTATGTGTGTTTGTTTGCGTACATGCGTGAGCCTGCGAGAGTTGTGTTCGAACGAAGACGAGGGTGCAACGGCGGTTGCCTATGTGCGATCGCCATTGTGAATGTGTTTGTGCGCATTATTTGTTTTGTGTCTTGTTGAATATTTATTTATTGTTTGTGTGTGTGTGTTAGTGGTTGTGTGTTTGTTAGTGTTTGTTTGCGCGTGTTAGTGTGCTTGCGTGTTTGGGTATTTGTGATATTGTGGTTGGGTGGTTGCGTGGTTCTGTGTGTGTGTTGGTGTGCTTGTGCGCTTCTGTGTGCGTCTGTGTGTGTGTGTGTCTGTGCCTGTGTCTGTGTGTGTGTGTCTGTGCCTGTGCCTGTGTCTGTGTCTGTGTCTTTTGTTTGTGTCTGTGTCGGTGTCTGTATGTTTATTATGTGTTTTGTTTCTTTGTTTTTCTTTGTTTTTCTTTGTTTTTATTTGTTTTTAAATGTGATTGTGTTTTTTTGAGCGTTTCTGGTTTTCTGTGTTGCTGCGTTGTGTTTGTTTGTGTGATTTTGCGTGCGGGTGAACGTGCAGTTTTGTTTTTTGTACTTGCACATGTTTGGCGTGCGTTTGATGGGTCCGTTTGTTTGCGGTATCCCTGTATATGTAATCTTAACCAGGGGAAAAAATGTACACTAGTACAAGTATGAGCAGTGGCATTTGGGTGTGTTTTGTTTGAGCGTGCAGTTTTGGGGTTGTTAATTTTAAAGCGAAACCAACAGCAGGACACCCACCATTCTCATGTTCCCTCAAGAAAGACAAGCCCCATGTGTGGAAGGGCCGACAAGGGTATGTGCCCAAGTCCAATCCCGTAGCCAGTCCACTTTATTTGCGCGGCACATCAAGCATTGTCATACCTTACACTGGAGGCTCTCCATATACACACAGATATGTTCATACACAATACAATGTTTGGCAGCCGCATTTAATGGTCGTTGCAAGGTGCCTGAAAGGACACCAAAGACATGGCACTCTTCGTCGGCAACAAAGCATGGCAAAGCACCGGCGCCTGCGTTGTTCGCCAGGCATAGATGTCGACGGAACTTAGCGTGTGAAATCTGAGAGCGGAGATTCGTAGATGCGCGGCTGTAAGGAGAGAACCGTTTGAAGGCGAAGACCAGGTTTCCAGCAAAAACACTCCCCACCATAGTATTCAAACATATTCAAACATAGTATAGGATTGTGGGAGACACTTTCTGTGGGCTTTTAAGGTGACAGAAGGTGACTAGTGCACACACTCTTTGTCAAGGGTAGATGTTCCTATTGGGACCCTGATTCCCTATACTCCAAGCCACCAGGCATCACTACTATTTTGACAATAGCCATACTTTCAGAGTGGTTCAGACTATCCAAGCCCAGCAGCCAGAGGGTATCAAGACTGACCATTTCAACGTCAGAGCCAATAATTTGCACTCTGCCAACTGGCTCCCTCCTCATGTGCTTACAAGGTTCGGCTTTTGCTGTTTGTGCAGACTTAGAACATATCAGCGCAAGGACCTGCCGGAAATCAATTGCCTGCACCACTTTTCGCGTCGAATCTGTGTCAGAAGAGCTTAAGTAAATCCCAGTGTGCCTTTGAGATACTTTGAACCATAGATCGATCTACATATTAAAGGGGGTGTGGATGAGCATACTCAGGTGTCCGTCTCATGGTGTTGTTCGTTACAGACAAGGCCAACCGCAGTGGCTTACCTGGTGTCTCACTATTTTGCTTTGTGATTGGGTGGAAGCTTGGTTCCTGACAAGAGTTTGACAGTCCTTTCCTGAGCGCCGCTGCTTAGATTGAGCCAGTGTCTTAGTGCCGAACTGGTGTATCAGCTGCACTGCCGCATTTGCGCAACGGTGTAACTGGATGCTCATTCGGGAGTGGACAAATCGACAAATATCCATCCCCTTTTCTTTGTTGTACTTTAAAAAAAATAACATGACATTATGGGCTATTTAGCACGCGGGTAATTCAGGATTGTAAAAGTGAAACGGGCAATGGATTATGCTATAACTGGATTTGGAACGCAGAAACGGCTCGGGGTCGAGTGCTTACCACCCGACATAAATCGCTTCTAGCACAACCTGACCGCCCAACGTGGAAGGAACCTGTTCCTATGAGCATGCGCTAGGTTGACAGCAATGGAGATAGACCGTATACCCATTTGGACTCCTTGTTGATATTCACTATGTACTATCCCATGGTTGCAGGTGTTGCATTTCACCGTTTGAAACATGCTGACGCGTGTTTGTATCAGCAGACAACGTCGATCGGGAGCTCTTTTGAGCTCTCTGTTTGTTGGCCTGTGCAGCTGGCTTAGCTTCGTGTGACCACGATGGTTAGGGGGCAAAATGGCTCGAGCTGCTGCTGGTCACCACCCAATTCTTTTGTGGGGAGAGCCTCCTTCCGGTGCCTCTTTGAGGGCCGAGAGGTCAACCCAGTGGATTCCACCCGTTCGTTCGCCATGGTTTCGCGGGTTCCCCGGCCAATTAAGATGGCCAGCTTTTTGTTCTAGCGTTCGGGTTAGTACTGGAGCTCGGTCCAGATGAGCCAACTACAATTCGAGATAGGTGGCAGAGGTGCAGGAGTTAGTGGTCCATCATTGTCTTACCAAAGTCGTATTCGTAGTCACTAAATGTCAATGTCATGATGCGAGCCCTGTTGTTTTTGCGTTTGTTTCATTTGTGACATGTCAGGACTCAGGACCTTTTTGCACCCTTCCTTCCGGCTAGCTGATCAGGAGGCTGTCCCTCCACCCTTTCAAGAACACAGAGCAATGCTGACCATGGCAGTTCTCGTTTTGGTCAGATTCCTGGACTTTTATTTGCTGATTCGCATAATTATACAGGCCCCGCTTTTTAGGGCAGCTTACTTTTCTAGACAAGTTGCTTTGCTAGAACTCGTAGTGTTTTGGAGGTAATTGTGGTCATAAGTCCCTGACCACTTGTAAAAACGGCTTCTATCCCTTCGAGCTGTTTGATTCTGGATATTGCTAAGGGCCTGACCAATGCTAGCAAAGACCTTGAAGCTCCCAGCAGGTGCAACTAGAAGCACGAATATGATATGCGTATGTCTATATCTATCATTATATAATACACAATTTGAGTGATACAGTCAATGTGCCACTCACGCGGCAAGATTTCGCCAAGCTATCAATCCAACGGCTTCAGGTTTGGGCTAGTGTTAGTTTCCGTTGCTTTTAGTTTTTAACACCAACCGCCGGGATTTGCATGGTTTCACTGATCTCGTTTCGTGAACCTCGGACTCTGGCCACAGGAAAGACTCGGAGGGATCTGATTCACATGGAACCCAAAAAAATAGTTTTCCACCAAAAGGAGATTCCTCTGTCAATCTGCATGGGAGTTGGGTTGGAAAGTCACACTGCGTCCCAAAATTATTTGGCAAGCCCCCAACTGGATCCTAGCATTGCCCTTCAACCCGCCAGACAGCGAGTTCCAGGTTGTTCGCCAACAACTCAAACTGGCCCGAAGGTCGTATCGCAGGCTTGCGCAGCATGAGATGCAACCTGAACAGCTGCACCAGTCTGCAGTTGCATGTGTCGCCCGTGAATTTGCTAAACCCTCACGGAACCAGCTTGTTCAGTCACCACTGCCCGGGGGATACTTGGACTTGGTGACCTAGAGGTACGCAAGCTGAGTTGGCAGGTGCCACCCTCAACTCGCCTTGACATTGTCTTCTCGACTAGCGACCTGGCCTCTCCTTTCAAGTCACCTCAAGGGTTACCTAAAAGCAAGCGGTATCGCAGACCCTGAGGGCCCGAGTACCTTTTGATGTTTAGACATGACATGGGTCAAAGTACCTTAGCTACTTGGCCCCGGAGAACGAGGGGCTTTTTCCCAGTTCCTTGTTTGTCGAGGGCTTCGGCGCGCTGCTGGTGCTGCGGGCGCTGGCTTTGCTGAGGCCGCTCTTCGACAGACCGCCCGGCGGCTTAGCTGCGGCCGCGTCTTGGGGACCGTGCGATTCACGACGGTGTTTGGTGCGACCTCAAAGGCCCCCAAGGACCTTTGAAAACAAATGTGGCCCTTCCATTCGTGCAAAAGGTGATGAATCCTTTGCTTTGGGGGGCTGGAGCGACCTAGTTCATGGGCCGGTGCAAACGGGTTCTAATAAACGGGTTCCGATCGCTTGCAAGGACACATCCGAAAGGAACCCATACCAATCGAATGCATTCTGTGTTCGGTGGCACCAATTGCGCTCAATTGTGGCAACCCAGTTGTGCCTTGGTTACAGCGGGTGGCTTTACGAGCCCTGCCAGATGACCAAGTAGAGGATTTGTGGAGACGGGTATCCAGGCTGTGTGAGATGACCATGGACACATCCTTCTAAGCCATGCTGGCTTTAGACTGTTCCAGGACACAGCTCTGAATGCCGCATACATTTGTATGGGCGCAGCTGCATCTAGAGTGAGTTCCGCGCGACCAATCATGCGCACCTCACGTCAAAGGCGCAAGCTGAGCTGCTGAGACGCAGGTCCAGATGTGGACAATTCTCGCTTGGAGGCCTGCGGGCCTCCCTTCTCCTGGATCTGCCCTTGAAGGCCATACTGGGGATGAACAGAATCCTGCCCCAGTTGGGATGGATGAAACCCTATGAATAGAGGGATAACCCACCTACCAACTAATAAAGGATTTTGTCCATCCGCAATAGAGCCAGGACCCATAGCAAAGCCAAAGCAGACAGGCAGTCGGGCTGAGTTCTCCTGGTGCAATTTGGACAGAGGTGCACTGCGAGCCTTACGCGCCTCGGGGATGATGTTTTTGGAGGACTCGAGCGGAAGGAGGCTTTGCTCACACAAAGGTGTGTCTTCCTTTTGAGGATGCTCCCTGAATGGGGAATCAAAGAGGAAAACATTCATTGTTTGGGGTTTCCCTTTTTGAAACAACCCAAACTTGAACTCTGCCAGCATTCATCCTTGTGCGTCGTGCTAGCTTGTTAATGGAGCAGAAGAAAGTTTTTGTTGCCAGCACATGCTACAAGCCTTCGTGTGACCTTGCAAGGCGGCGGCTAGCTGTCTTGAAGAACTCGCTTTCAACAGATGGCTTGCAGGGCGCTTTTGTCCATCAGTCCTGGGATTTGTGTTGTTTTTGAAATGCAATTGTGTCATTTCATGATGTGAATCAATTACAACTCGTTGCATCCAACTGGGTAAACGCCGTAGATGGCGTTGGAATGTTGAGGTGTTTGGCAAGTTGGACGACGACCCATAACTAGGTAGCCACCACCAACAATAGTGACTGGGCGCTCTGCAGTGACTGGGACTCTAAGGCCCGTCGTCATTTTGCTATCTCCTGGCTTTGAGTGCGCCGCCCCAGGGAGAGAACGGAAGAGGGAGAGAGCGAGAGATGGAATAGGGCTGAGAGCAAAGGAAGCATGATAATATATTATCCTAAGAAGCTTTTGAGTAAATGGAATCGCCGTAAAGCCGCGAGATCCTCACTCAACAGCAAGGAGCGGGTCGGCAAAGAGAGCGTTCTTTGGATTATTGGGCCAACGAACGAGCAAATGGCACGATTTTCTTGACGGGGTTTTCATGTTTTGCGCTGGGGAACAACAATCAGTGGTCGACCGGTTTGGTCGGCTTGAGTCTTTGTCCTTTCGTTATGGACTCGCGTTGTAGATCATGCGAACTGAGTCGGTGGTAGACTAGTCTGAATTGTGTTAGGCCAAGCAGCTTGACCTTGGGAGTTGTCAAGGTCATCACGAGTCACATTTCATCATGCCCTTTAGCAGGCGGGATGCTGGCTGCTTACCTGCCACATGGGGCCTAAGCGATTCCACATGGTTTATAAGCATGACTGAGTTTGGGTGTGGTATTAAAGTTCCCTACAACACCATGTATTTAGGCACCAATAATTGCTGCGTGACTCCTTTCAACTTGGCGATCTTTGTGTTGTGATCGCAGGTAGTCACCTCATATGACCTCATGCCTGAATGTTTGGACAGTGACAGCCACGGAGGATCTTGACGGCAGCTTGCTCAAGGGTTTGTTTGCATGATAAGACTCTTGCAATCAATGAACCAATGACATGTGGGTGTGTCATTTTTGAGGGTACCAGTTTGGGATGGTGTTAAGGGGACGCAAAAATCAAACCACCCTTTCTGAGGGTTCTC